AACGAATGTACCAACGAATGTACCAACGAATGTACCAACGAATGTACCAACGAATGTACCAACGAATGTACCAACGAATGTACCAACGAATGTACCAACGAATGTACCAACGAATGTACCAACGAATGTACCAACGAATGTACCAACGAATGTACCAACGAATGTACCAACGAATGTACCAACGAATGTACCAACGAATGTACCAACGAATGTACCAACGAATGTACCAACGAATGTACCAACGAATGTACCAACGAATGTACCAACGAATGTACCAACGAATGTACCAACGAATGTACCAACGAATGTACCAACGAATGTACCAACGAATGTACCAACGAATGTACCAACGAATGTACCAACGAATGTACCAACGAATGTACCAACGAATGTACCAACGAATGTACCAACGAATGTACCAACGAATGTACCAACGAATGTACCAACGAATGTACCAACGAATGTACCAACGAATGTACCAACGAATGTACCAACGAATGTACCAACGAATGTACCAACGAATGTACCAACGAATGTACCAACGAATGTACCAACGAATGTACCAACGAATGTACCAACGAATGTACCAACGAATGTACCAACGAATGTACCAACGGATGTACCAACGGATGTACCAACGGATGTACCAACGGATGTACCAACGGATGTACCAACGGATGTACCAACGGATGTACCAACGGATGTACCAACGGATGTACCAACGGATGTACCAACGGATGTACCAACGGATGTACCAACGGATGTACCAACGGATGTACCAACGGATGTACCAACGGATGTACCAACGGATGTACCAACGGATGTACCAACGGATGTACCAACGGATGTACCAACGGATGTACCAACGGATGTACCAACGGATGTACCAACGGATGTACCAACGGATGTACCAACGGATGTACCAACGGATGTACCAACGGATGTACCAACGGATGTACCAACGGATGTACCAACGGATGTACCAACGGATGTACCAACGGATGTACCAACGGATGTACCAACGGATGTACCAACGGATGTACCAACGGATGTACCAACGAATGTACCAACGAATGTACCAACGAATGTACCAACGAATGTACCAACGAATGTACCAACGAATGTACCAACGAATGTACCAACGAATGTACCAACGAATGTACCAACGAATGTACCAACGAATGTACCAACGAATGTACCAACGAATGTACCAACGAATGTACCAACGAATGTACCAACGAATGTACCAACGAATGTACCAACGAATGTACCAACGAATGTACCAACGAATGTACCAACGAATGTACCAACGAATGTACCAACGAATGTACCAACGAATGTACCAACGAATGTACCAACGAATGTACCAACGAATGTACCAACGAATGTACCAACGAATGTACCAACGAATGTACCAACGAATGTACCAACGAATGTACCAACGAATGTACCAACGAATGTACCAACGAATGTACCAACGAATGTACCAACGAATGTACCAACGAATGTACCAACGAATGTACCAACGAATGTACCAACGAATGTACCAACGAATGTACCAACGAATGTACCAACGAATGTACCAACGAATGTACCAACGAATGTACCAACGAATGTACCAACGAATGTACCAACGAATGTACCAACGAATGTACCAACGAATGTACCAACGAATGTACCAACGAATGTACCAACGAATGTACCAACGAATGTACCAACGAATGTACCAACGAATGTACCAACGAATGTACCAACGAATGTACCAACGAATGTACCAACGAATGTACCAACGAATGTACCAACGAATGTACCAACGAATGTACCAACGAATGTACCAACGAATGTACCAACGAATGTACCAACGAATGTACCAACGAATGTACCAACGAATGTACCAACGAATGTACCAACGAATGTACCAACGAATGTACCAACGAATGTACCAACGAATGTACCAACGAATGTACCAACGAATGTACCAACGAATGTACCAACGAATGTACCAACGAATGTACCAACGAATGTACCAACGAATGTACCAACGAATGTACCAACGAATGTACCAACGAATGTACCAACGAATGTACCAACGAATGTACCAACGAATGTACCAACGAATGTACCAACGAATGTACCAACGAATGTACCAACGAATGTACCAACGAATGTACCAACGAATGTACCAACGAATGTACCAACGAATGTACCAACGAATGTACCAACGAATGTACCAACGAATGTACCAACGAATGTACCAACGAATGTACCAACGAATGTACCAACGAATGTACCAACGAATGTACCAACGAATGTACCAACGAATGTACCAACGAATGTACCAACGAATGTACCAACGAATGTACCAACGAATGTACCAACGAATGTACCAACGAATGTACCAACGAATGTACCAACGAATGTACCAACGAATGTACCAACGAATGTACCAACGAATGTACCAACGAATGTACCAACGAATGTACCAACGAATGTACCAACGAATGTACCAACGAATGTACCAACGAATGTACCAACGAATGTACCAACGAATGTACCAACGAATGTACCAACGAATGTACCAACGAATGTACCAACGAATGTACCAACGAATGTACCAACGAATGTACCAACGAATGTACCAACGAATGTACCAACGAATGTACCAACGAATGTACCAACGAATGTACCAACGAATGTACCAACGAATGTACCAACGAATGTACCAACGAATGTACCAACGAATGTACCAACGAATGTACCAACGAATGTACCAACGAATGTACCAACGAATGTACCAACGAATGTACCAACGAATGTACCAACGAATGTACCAACGAATGTACCAACGAATGTACCAACGAATGTACCAACGAATGTACCAACGAATGTACCAACGAATGTACCAACGAATGTACCAACGAATGTACCAACGAATGTACCAACGAATGTACCAACGAATGTACCAACGAATGTACCAACGAATGTACCAACGAATGTACCAACGAATGTACCAACGAATGTACCAACGAATGTACCAACGAATGTACCAACGAATGTACCAACGAATGTACCAACGAATGTACCAACGAATGTACCAACGAATGTACCAACGAATGTACCAACGAATGTACCAACGAATGTACCAACGAATGTACCAACGAATGTACCAACGAATGTACCAACGAATGTACCAACGAATGTACCAACGAATGTACCAACGAATGTACCAACGAATGTACCAACGAATGTACCAACGAATGTACCAACGAATGTACCAACGAATGTACCAACGAATGTACCAACGAATGTACCAACGAATGTACCAACGAATGTACCAACGAATGTACCAACGAATGTACCAACGAATGTACCAACGAATGTACCAACGAATGTACCAACGAATGTACCAACGAATGTACCAACGAATGTACCAACGAATGTACCAACGAATGTACCAACGAATGTACCAACGAATGTACCAACGAATGTACCAACGAATGTACCAACGAATGTACCAACGAATGTACCAACGAATGTACCAACGAATGTACCAACGAATGTACCAACGAATGTACCAACGAATGTACCAACGAATGTACCAACGAATGTACCAACGAATGTACCAACGAATGTACCAACGAATGTACCAACGAATGTACCAACGAATGTACCAACGAATGTACCAACGAATGTACCAACGAATGTACCAACGAATGTACCAACGAATGTACCAACGAATGTACCAACGAATGTACCAACGAATGTACCAACGAATGTACCAACGAATGTACCAACGAATGTACCAACGAATGTACCAACGAATGTACCAACGAATGTACCAACGAATGTACCAACGAATGTACCAACGAATGTACCAACGAATGTACCAACGAATGTACCAACGAATGTACCAACGAATGTACCAACGAATGTACCAACGAATGTACCAACGAATGTACCAACGAATGTACCAACGAATGTACCAACGAATGTACCAACGAATGTACCAACGAATGTACCAACGAATGTACCAACGAATGTACCAACGAATGTACCAACGAATGTACCAACGAATGTACCAACGAATGTACCAACGAATGTACCAACGAATGTACCAACGAATGTACCAACGAATGTACCAACGAATGTACCAACGAATGTACCAACGAATGTACCAACGAATGTACCAACGAATGTACCAACGAATGTACCAACGAATGTACCAACGAATGTACCAACGAATGTACCAACGAATGTACCAACGAATGTACCAACGAATGTACCAACGAATGTACCAACGAATGTACCAACGAATGTACCAACGAATGTACCAACGAATGTACCAACGAATGTACCAACGAATGTACCAACGAATGTACCAACGAGCGTGTAACGTGCCAAACTCGATGATGTCACTGCCAGTGTGGCCTTACCTAGGACAAGTGCGTAGGACAAGTGCGTGGGACAAGTGCGTGGGACAAGTGCGTGCCCGAACAGCGACCGACGTGAATTTTAGTTAAGCTCTGTGAGCCATTGGCGGCTTACGCTGATAAAACCTGTGTCTTCTGCGTAAATGAGCTCAAACGGAATACTCATATCTTGATCCATCAGCGCCGGTCTGGCCTGCGCCACCTGTGTTCTCTGCATGTCTCAATACTTATTTCAGATATAATTATGACAAGGAACATAAGGATAGAGAATTCAAGGGACTCTTACATTGTCTTACCAATACCGTCCTACCAGTGTCAGGGGTTGTATTGGTCAACGGTACTCTCAGTAGCCCAACATCATCTTATTGGTCTACGGTACTCTCAGCAGCCCAACATCATCTTCTGTGTGGAACGACTTGAGAACTACAAACAATTTACTATGATGTATTCAATCAAATTCCTTTGACATATTTGAGAGCGGCAGTTCTGAAAGTGCCCTGTTCCTCGCTGTTCGTGTGTGTGTGTGTGTGTGTGTGTGTATGTGTGTGCATGTGTGTGTGTATATCTCAGGAGCTGCAGTCTCTTGGTCCGCTGCATAGCGGTGACATGCCGCCGCTGTGCTTCTGTTCACAGCACTGCCATGCATCTCACCGGATCAGGGCGCTTGTTTGGTGGTCTCGTGCTGGGTAACTTCCTCTACAGCGTATGCTGCTTCCCGGCCGCCACAGCCCGTCTACACTGCCATTGCCAGTGTGGTGGTATTCATGTGTTGTTGCTCAGTCTTGGCAGTGCAGGCTACTGCCAACGTGCAGGTGGGTGCAATGATGCCATGAATATAATAGCCTTTCCTCGATGATAATTGTGACACGCTGCCACAAATCACATTATGGACGTATGGCTCCACACAAGGTTTGCTCATAATAGTGACATGCTGCTGCCACATATGGACATATGGCTCCAAAAACAAGGTTTACTGTACCGTAGGCTACGCTACATTGACCCCCTGCCTGAAAACCAGTTTGTGTGGGACACAGATCAGACTCATTGACTTTTGATAGTGCCCAGTCCATAGCGTAACTTGTAGTTCCTTGGTCCTTTTTCTTTTGTATAAATTCCCAATCTATATTCCCAATCAAATGCGTGCACCTCCACCGCAATGGGAAGAGTATGCTGTACGAGATCGGAGTTTGTGTATGGAAGTTTTCACTGGAGCATCATTTCCTTCTTTTAGAAACACGGACAAAGACTGATACTTTCAGAACCTGTACTTTCGTCGGCTCTGAGCCGAACGGTGTTGTCTGAGGAGGCTGCAGTACATCATCAGTTAGCAATGACTTCCAATGCACTTCACTATCCATGCATGGTGATGTGCACCATTTGCACCAGGGATTTAGGGGCCCGATTTTTTTACATGAAACCAAAACTGGTTTCATTCATAGAGGGGTGCGTCGAGGAGAGTTTCGTTTTAAAAATATTGATAGCGTAAACATCTATTAAACCATTCTCGCTGTCAAGTCAATTGTATCTTACGTTCAAGGGGGGTGGCTGGGTGGGGGAGGGTTGCAACTAAACTTTTTCGTAATGTGAAAATTATCGATAAAGCCGGATGGCCCCTTGGGTTCCAACCGGCACTAGGTAAAAAATATACGTATGTACTATAAATGCCACTTTTGGTATAAGTCGTCAAGGACACATACGGAAAATCTTATACGATCCATATATGTTTCAGCAAATCGCGGACCCCTGTATAAGCTGCTTTTTCCACATGTACCGTATCTTTTGATTTTCATGCACCCAATACTCACCGGATACGACGTTTTCTGCCGGTTGGACTGGACAAAATTAATGCTGAAAAAAAAATGCAATACAACTTGCAGCGCTAAGGCTCCAACCGCACTAGGTAAAAAGTATACGCATGTGAAAGGTGAAAATGTGTGTATATTACAGCCAGCAGCCGCACTGCAAGTTGTATTGCATATTTCCAGCCTAACCGCCAGAAAATGTCGTATCAGGTGAGTATTCATTGGTGTTGAGAGGTACATGAAATTCAAAAGATACGGTACATGTGTAAACAGCTGCTTATACAGGGGCCTGCGAATTGCTGAAACATAATTATATGGATCGTACTAGATTTCCCGTATGTGACCTTGACGACTTACACCAAAAGCGGCATTTATAGTACATACGTATATTTTTTACCTAGTGCAGTTGGAGCCTAATTGGGGCACATTAAATAATGTGCAGGGACATGTAAAAAATGCATTGACCCCTTGGAAAAAGAAAAAAACATCCCTGATATCCTGATATGCAGTCCACTACTGTAGTAGGACATTGGCAGAGGCTGACCATCGGGTACCTAGATATTGCAATGGGACTCCCAGGCCACGTTCGATTGGGAGTAAGGGATAGGCGATGTACTACAACCTCCTCGGACCAATCCTGTTCGATTCAGTGGCCGGCAAAGGATCCGTTCTGAAGGTTCCATCTTTGTCCACGCTTCTGTAAGAACAACATGAACCCTGGCAGTTCTGCTCACATCAGAACCTAGTAGGTGACATGTGTGTCGTTGCGGGGAGGTGTGTGAATTCAATATGGAAGATAGGATCACTGGTGGTCACAAAGAAACCGGGTAGCCATTGGTCTGTCAGTATCGGCAGACCAGCATGGTTTCTCCCGTGTGATGGTGGTGGTGGTGTCAGTCAGTATGGGCAGACTGGCATGGTTTCTCCCGTGTGATGGTGGTGGTGGTGTCAGTCAGTATGGGCAGACCGGCATGGTTTCTCCCGGTGTGATGGTGGTGGTGGTGTCAGTCAGTATGGGCAGACTGGCATGGTTTTTCCCGGTGTGATGGTGGTGGTGGGTAGCCATTGGTCAGTCAGTATGGGCAAACTGGCATTGTTTCTCAGTCCCAGTGTGATGGTGGTGGTGGCGACGGTCAGGGTGGTAGTGGTGGATTTTCACCCCGTGGTGGACACAGTGGTGGTTTTGGTGGAGGAGGACGGGCTGGAAATCACCCAACTTTGTTCTTTCAAAGGTACTGTACTTGGCCACTTCACCGTCTCACATTGGCGTGTGTTAATGAAATCTGATCCTCTTTGACCTTGGTATGAGAACCGAATCTAGTCTGGCAGCATTGTCATGTACGTTTTTGGTTTTCGTTCGTCAGCCTCCTCTGTGTTTGGCAGCTAGCTTCCTTACACCGATACCACCACCATGTGAATCAACACCCAAAGGCGTACGCATGATGAAACAATTGACTATATTCAGCACTACCCCTGTAGCCACCAGGATCTGAACTGTCGCACAATGCCTGTAGAACAAGAAATCACATGTTAGGCACCCAGGCATCCACTGACTGGCACAGGAAAAACCCTTGAAAAAAGTCAGAAATTGCCGCTGCGACTTAGACTCCGAATGCTGGATGTAAATCGACCAGCACTACAGCACTGCATGCATATAATTAATGCATGTAATGTTATGGTGTCATTCAGCTACGTAATGTACTCCAATCCATCATGGTACTATTAACTACAGCGCTGTTGGGTGCCGGAGAACAGAGCGTTGTCGAAGAACTAACAGGCGGGCTAGGATGTCACCAAGCACAGCGGCATGCCACTGTATAGATGGTGACTCAACGGCTGTGCATAGACTGTATAGATGGTGACTCAACGGCTGTGCATAGACTGTATAGATGGTGACTCAACGGCTGTGCATAGACTGTATAGATGGTGACTCAACGGCTGTGCATAGACTGTATAGATGGTGACTCAACGGCTGTGCATAGACTGTATAGATGGTGACTCAACGGCTGTGCATAGACTGTATAGATGGTGACTCAACGGCTGTGCATAGACTGTATAGATGGTGACTCAACGGCTGTGCATGCCACTGTATAGATGGTGACTCAACGGCTGTGCATAGACTGTATATGGTGACTCAACGGCTGTGCATAGACTGTATAGATGGTGACTCAACGGCTGTGCATAGACTGTATAGATGGTGACTCAACGGCTGTGCATAGACTGTATAGATGGTGACTCAACGGCTGTGCATAGACTGTATAGATGGTGACTCAACGGCTGTGCATAGACTGTATAGATGGTGACTCAACGGCTGTGCATAGACTGTATAGATGGTGACTCAACGGCTGTGCATAGACTGTATAGATGGTGACTCAACGGCTGTGCATAGACTGTATAGATGGTGACTCAACGGCTGTGCATAGACTGTATAGATGGTGACTCAACGGCTGTGCATAGACTGTATAGATGGTGACTCAACGGCTGTGCATAGACTGTATAGATGGTGACTCAACGGCTGTGCATAGACTGTATAGATGGTGACTCAACGGCTGTGCATAGACTGTATAGATGGTGACTCAACGGCTGTGCATAGACTGTATAGATGGTGACTCAACGGCTGTGCATAGACTGTATAGATGGTGACTCAACGGCTGTGCATAGACTGTAGTACTAGCGTAAACTAAAGTACCGCCGGCAGAGCGCCCCGTCTCGCGAGAGCACTCCACCTTGAGTTTACAGCCAGGGAAAGGAAAATCGTATGGCAGAGTGCAACGAAGTTTGTGCGGTGTGAGAACCTTAGTTTGTACGGTGTGAGAATCTTAGTGTACTACGGTCACACTTAATGGCAGGTTTTGTGTGGAGCGCGTGTCCACTCGAAGGTATGGATTGTCTGCAGAACGTGCGATGATGTGTGCAAAGTTCGTGTCGTATGACCTACACACAGGAGACCACCTCCACAATACGACCACGAAAGGACGAGATGGTCGGGGCGCTCTGGCGGTACTTTACGGTACATGAAAATAGGAATGGCCTAGGCTAGGATGCTGATCCCCCTCCCACCCCCCCCCCCCCCCGCCGCCGCCAGTTCTTCGGCACCCGACACTGGTACTGTGACAAGGCCAGTACCTGTCTCTGTGGATCACTGTATAACTCCTCTGCATGTTCTATGCTGTGTATGTGTTCTCTGTGTACCCTGTGTACCCTGTGCAGAGTGACAGCTAGTGAAGCAAGGACTACTGCAGTAGCTACATGACACAGTCTGCAGTCGGCTTCAGTTCCCAAGGTGACCAGGCGGCTACACGCAGCAGTGAATGAGTCCGACGGTCGCATCTTGAAATTGTAAGTGTAATGTAGTTTGTCTCCAGTTTAAAGGAGAAGTACCGTGTAGGGCCTAAACTAGATCTTACCACTCCCACTGTCTGGGTGTTAAATGGCATTGGGCCGAGATAGTTGGATGCTCCACAGTCTGTCCTGTACTCCGTAATTAACCCGTGCCTCAGCTGAGATTGGAAGAGCTGGCCCTACTATAATAATGATGTAGAAAGGAGAAGGGACCGCGCCTGGATTCCGGCGAATTATGAGCAACTACTCGCCACTGTAACTAGATGATATACAGTCAGAAAGTGTAACAACTAGCCACCAAACCGACAGAGTACTGAGATATCTAACGACCAGGCGCCTAGCTCCAACATATCTCTCCTGTGCACACCTACAACCTTCCAACTAACGTTCATAGTTATAACAAAAGATCAAGGGGGGGGGGGGGGGGATATGAGCACAACGAAATGAGTCCTATGGCAACCAAATAAGTGTCGATTGCGAACTTGATATTGACGAGGACACCAACAAGATACTTGACAATACGGTCCAACTACACCTCAAAGCAGCAAAACAGAACACCAATTCAACTTGAGTAGCTCAGGATTATCGAACATGAAAATGAAGGGCAAGGCTATGCGGAAACAACAGAATTGAACCCCAATGATCCTACTGTGTTCCATGCAATTGTATGCATAACATGTAGTGACATGTGACGTGCGTTTTACTGACGTGCAGGTTGTGACGGCGTGTCGGGTCAGAATTAAACTCCGTATCTAGTTTGTCCCTTCTCTTCTACGTTTGATATTCGCTCAGCATCTATATTGAAGCATCACGAATATGAAACCGTTTCAGAACCTGTAGTCGTCAGGGTGCTGTATCAAATGTCTTTGGTGTGAGAAAGCTGGCATTCATCATTCAAGCCTTGCTACCAATGACTACATGGCTCTACAGTACTTCACTGTTCATACCTACTCTGATGATGTGCACCATTCACTGGTGTACCAGCGAGTATTCACCAGTGAGCTAGTGAGTATTTGCTAGTGCACTAGCAAATACTCACTAGCTCACCAGTGTTAGTGCAGCATTCTCTAGTGCAGTATTCCCTAGTGCAGGATTCACTACTGCAGAATTTGCTAGCGCACCAGCGAGTATTTGCTAATGTAGCATTCCCTAGTGCACCAGCAGCCTGCAGGTATTCTGGTGCATGCAGTGACAGTAGTGGCACTGTGCTTTATCAGCTGATCCGCATCAGCTGACTGGTGCAAAAGTAATCTAGTGGGACTGCATTTGGTTGGGAGTAAGCGTTGAACGCTGTAACGTAGCCTCCTCGGACCAACCCCTTTCCATTTAGCGGCCAGGAGACTACGGGTTCTGAAAGTTTCATCTTTGTCTGTGCTTCTATAAGAACGAAATGGCTTTTCAAGTGTATTTCCGTGCCACTCGCTATCCAGAGGGCGCACTTTTACAATACCGGTGGTGGTGCGTGAACTTGATTAGGAATATAGGGGCGAATGGAGAGATACAGTTTCCTCAGACCAACACCATTCGACTCGGCGCCCAGAGGGCTGCAAGTGGTGGAATTTCGATTTCAGGCTTTGCGTCCTTACTACAGTCCATTTCAAAACTATAGACGCGTACCTAGGCAAAAACCGTTATGCCAGCATCTATACAACATAAAATCTGTGATCACTTTGTGCATAATTTTTTCCAAATTGGGCGTCTGTTATCCAATCCTTTAGAAACTATATGGGAGTAATTGTGGAGCGATCCTGAGCAATATTCCGAAAACTATTCTCAAAAAGTTCCAGCCAAATTTGAAATATTTCAAAAACCCTACGCGTCTATAGTTTTGAAATGCACTGTAAGGCTGCAACCACACTAGGTACAAAATCACGTACAAACGGCATTACAGTAGAAATCGTCATGCCGACGCGTGCGAAATGCAAAATGCGCTTTGTAGGTTTTCAGCAACTGGCGCACCCCTGTAGAAAGCCACGTTTGTCGTTTTCGTCGTTTTCGCGCTCCTTCTGCTGTGTACAACTTTGCTTTTGTACCGGGTCATCGTACATAGCATCAGCATCAGCATTGTTTTTTAATTAAATTCCCGGTCTTTTCCAGCGCATGGCACACGCTTTGGTACGACAACGTCACGTGCTGGTCGCGTGAAAACGTCATCTATGCAGACCAAAAAGTGTAGTGTGGTTGCGTACCGACTTGTAAATGCATGAAAATTTGTACTGTGATTTTTACGTAGTGTGGTTGCGGCCTTAAGGAGAAGTACGAAGAAGAATGTAAATCTGCATAGCTAAAGGTTGGCTGAGGGATGGCGCCACTGAATGCATTCTGTACTCCTCTCTGTTTCTGTGTTGCAGGGTGCAACTGCTCAAGGCTGGACCTTGGCCAGTGATGATGTGAATAGCAACAAAAGTTCCCGATCTACATTGCAGATATCCGTGGGCAGCAAGTTGTTTCAGCCTCATCCCCGGGTCTCGTCAACAAAGCTCAGAGACACTGGCTGAATCGAGATCACAACTTCAAGTCTAGTAAACAATGAACTGCATAGTTAAACTGGCTCAATGTATCGAGTCAAGCGTGCTCAACTGGAATGTAGACTGGTGTTGCTACGCTTGAATTATTGCTCGTCATGTTCACTGTCATTGCTGCAGTGGTGGGGAATGAAGCCGGGCCTCGCCAATAGACAGTGCTGCTCAATGAACTTGAATCCGATTGTGAGAGTCAAATTAGTTGCATATTTTTCCAATTGATCAGAAATTCTGATCCATTTTCTGATCCATTTTGACGACACATGTGCAATGTAGTAGGAAATCAGTGTGCTGCTCGATTTCCCCTGGATTTCTAGATCACTAGTACACCACTGGTCACTGGTACACCATAGACCACAGTAGATATACATGTAGACAGTGTATCGCCATGGACACTTGATACCGTAATTTGCCTGTTTTCAGAATTGTCTTGTGTAGTTGCTTGTAATAAGTTGCATTAGTTGATGTCCTATGGTGATTCTTGCAGTCTGTTTTCTATGTTTACTGGTTACCGTTTACCTACATGCTGCTATGCATCCATTGATCTGTATGTGACTGGGACTGTGCCTCATCTGCACATTGCTTTCCCCGTTCCCGGTATTTTCTATTTTTTTAAATTAATTTTGTAGCTGAAGCTTTCATGCTGGTCTCTTGCACTTTTGAAGTCCTTTCTATCATCCCTTGTCCTTTATGACAATCTTTCCTTGTTCGTTCTGATCTTCCATTTTTAATTATTTCTCTAGATCAAACAATATTGTTGACACAAATTTTGTGCACATTCAGATGAATTTTTATCAACACTTTCAATGGAACCTGTATGATGAGACTTGTGAGTTTCCATAGCAACTGGCAAATAACGGGTTGCTAATGTAGCACCTGTGGTACTAGTATATACCGCCTAGGAACCAACCAGCCATGCAGGTACCCCAGCTGTATGCCCCCTCCCTGCTGCCTGTATGCCCCCCTGCCCGTGGGCCCTGCAGCCAGCCAGCTGGACCAGCACCCACACAGCGGCCTGGAGCAGCTGCTACAAACCAACCATATATGGTGCGGAATTGTGCGGTTGCCATGGTGACGGCCAATTTTTGGAGAAAAATGAACTGTTGTCATGGCAACCGCAAAAATCCACACCATATTTGGCATTTTCTTCTTTCTTCTGGCTTTTTCTTCTTGCAAGTGTGCCATATATGGCACTCTTCTCACGCAAGGATTTTTCCTGATGGAACAGTCAGCAAATCGACCTCAAAGTCCAACATTCCCTGCGTAGTAGAGACACCCCACAATGGGCCACAGTGCTCAGCACAATGCAATGCACTAACATCACTCCATTCTAGGTGCCGCGAACCACACTGGGAAGGAAAGCAGGGTGATATTCAGCTCACCTGCAAACAAGTGCGCAGTAGTTTGGACATTGGCATGCTGTTGTCAGCAAACGTCTTGAAGTATTAAGAGGCACAGGCTAGGCATGAGCAGAACGCTGTGAAAAAGAAGAAGCCTCGAAACAATGAGGTCATGCTGCATTGTGTCGTCAGCTGGACAATAACCATAGCAATGGATGAATGCCAAAGATTCAGTTAAGGATACTGTAAGAATAAAGTGAACAGTGGGAGATTGGGAGATTGGGAGATAATAAGCACTAACATACAAGTGCGCACAGGTGTATCTCAGCTGCCCGCAGTCTGGGAACCAAACACAAAACACAGCAGCAGGTTGCAAGCTGGCTAGCAAAGTGCCCAAGCTGCATATAAGAAAACTCTGAGAAGAAATATGAGAGACAGAAAGAGAAAAGAAAGAGAAAAGAAAGAGAGAGAGAGAGAGAGTGTGTGAGAGAAAAAGGAGAGTTTTTTTGGTATGTTGATGGCACAATGAATAGTCATCAGCCGAAGCGACACAATACTCACGTTGAGTTAGCAACAGGCTGCAGCTGCACCAGCAGCTGCACTACCAGCAGTAGTAGCATGAGCAGAGGGTAGCAGTATGCACACCAGTACTAGGTAATGACAGTTACTGAGTGGAGTAAGTAACTGTACAGGGGGGTGGCAATGTGACAAAGCTATGTCACCGTCCGTGTCACTGCTGGGTACAACAGCTGCTGTAGCTGCAGGTCTAATAATATCACTCAGGCATTGGTGAACACATTACTTGGATTTGCTGGACAGGTGTCGTGCTGCATTCTGCTTGGCCATTGAGTGCAGGATGGAGAGCAGGAAGTAGGAGATCATTGAAATCACCAACAAACCGTAGACGTAGGAGAACAAACTGGTAGTGTCCTGTTAAACACAGACAAACAAACACCCACACCCACATCACACGCACGTGCGGACACGCCCAGCACATGCACACACATGCACACGAGCACACATGTACAGAGCACGCACACACACACACGCACACACACATATACATACACACATACACATATGCATACACATACATACATACATACTCATATACCATGTGCAATGCATGCCTGTCAAAAGAGAAGTACTGGTATGTAAATGTGCACCTGGCATTGCCTGTACACTGGCTGATATTCTCTTATAGGCAATTCACACGACAGGCAAATCCACGTGCACCGGACCGTTGCTATGGTATTTCACCTATGAATGAGAAAAAGTGACTGAAAGTGGCTGAAAAGTGCAAGCGAGCTGGGGCCCACTTTCACGGTAATCGTGGCATGCACGAGTACATTTACACCAAAAAGCGCGAAACAAGACTTGATTTTTTACGCGGCTCTTTTCACCATGATAATTATTGTATGCGTGTTTTGAAAATTTGAAGTATCCATGGCAACTGGTGGGTGAATCATTCAAAAATGCAAACGTGCCTGTCGTCGAATGCAGCCCACCCACACACATGCAGCCGTGTGAATCTACACAGTCACTATTCTCATGAATCACTCGCTGTGAAACGTGCAAGTACCAGTCGTGTGAATCACCTATTAGACACCCTTAGCAAACAACGGTAACGCTATTTTTTACGGTACTCGTACCTTGATCACCCAAATAGCGTTGAAGCTGCAGCGTATAAACGTTATGGGGGCTGATTTATCGTTGTGACCAACGGTACGTGTTTTGGCCAAATATTGCATAGTCTGTACGCATTTCACCTTGTATCGCATATATGGTGACAAAAATGGTTGTACCGCGCGAAATCAAAGCTACTCTCGAGGCAACAGCGTACTAAAAATAGCGTGCATCTTGCTAAAGGTCGAACCCAAATCACGGTATTTTCCCCCTTACGATAATACCGTTACAACATAACGTTTTTTGCTAAGGGTGTCTAATAGCAACCACAATGACCATAAGAGTATGATCAAGACTTGCACTAGCTAAAACTGGTTACGAATTCCCTGCACATGTAATCGCCTGCTACCAGTAACGTTATAATTGCAAGTACAGTTTCGTGTCAATTATCCGCAACCCTCAGGTCTAAGCGGTGCTAGAGAAATGCGTATAAAGTCCTGTATAAAAGCCGCACTTGAAAATAAGCCGCCCTCAAATAGAAAATAATCTTACAGGGCGCGAAATAACGGTCGGACGTCGGACAATTTCCGACCGTTTACGGTCTGTTTCCGGATGTTTTGTACATATCCGGACAAAGTGTCCGCGCACCTTTTTGCAAAGTATAAAAAAGAAAAGGCACTTCAATCCTTTGTCTGATAGTCATTAGTGATGTCGTCTGGCAAGAGAAAGCCAAGCACCGCTGATGCAGGTGCTCCTCTTGGAAAAAAGCCCAGAGGAGTCAAGACGACCACTTGTGACAAGTGGGTCGCCGAGTATGATAGGAAGCTTTCAACTTCTGTTTGGCTGAGCTATGAGCGCAGTCCCTCAGATCGTAGCGTTGTAGAAAATTTGAAGTGTAAGATGTGTTCCCGTTTTGTTGATAAAATTCGCAGCAGCAAGAATTTTTCTGACTCCTTCGTCGTTGGCTCAAGGAACCTGAAAACGTCAGCCTTCAAAGATCATGCTGCTTCTGAAATGCATCGTCGTGATAACATTTCCATGGTATTAATTCTACACTGAACATTGTGTGATTTGATGTGAAAGTTGCATGTCCGGACATGTCCGGCCATTTTTGCAACTGGCAGGACATTGCGTCAGAGCATATTTTAATCCTTAGCGCATGCCCTGATCTTAGCCGTCCACCTCTCCACAAATAGAAGCCGCACTTTTGGAAACATCAAATCACACATAAGGCAGCGTCCTTGTATAGTAGCTGGTATGTCTGTACTACACGGTAATCTGAATGACTGAACGACGACGACAGATAAGCCACACACGTTACTGTGTAGTCATACCTCATCAGATCCTGCACCCATCTGCCTGTGATACTTGGTCTTCTGCTTCTCCAAGAAATCCATGAACGGCTTCTGCAGATGTGATCCAACTGATGGAATACGCCTTCACATAGAAAGACAAGTGCGCGCACAACAAGAACAAGAACAGCAATCATGCACATGTGCACAATAGCCATGGCGAATACAACATTAATATTGCAACACCCCCACCCCCACCCTCAGATCTGCCCATCGCGGAAGTGATGATAGCGAACAGCTATGTTAGACATAGCAACTTGTGCTGGAATTGCACCATTCAACAGCGTGCAAGGCTGATGAATTGACCGCCACTATTTGTAACCCCATCCACACACATGCACACATACACATACACACACACATGTACACACACACATGTACACATACAGTCACATAGACATGTATGTATAATTCTACTGGCATGCTTGTACATGCAGGTGGTCACTACCACTGAGTACCAGAAACTAGGCATATGGCTATCTCTGGAGACAGAGACTCAGAAGAAATCCTGGAAAGATTGGCTATTGAACAGTTCAACAACTGATACACCCCCACGTAAGATGTGCCCCCCCCCCCCCCCCCCCCCCCCCCACTCATATGCTCACCACACCGCAGTATGCACGTAGTATGCACTCAGTATGCACACATCACAGCACGCACGCACACATGCACACACGCACGCACATACATAACTTTTGTTATACTTGTTCACTGCCACTGCCATAAACTGGAATGTGGGTCTCCCCTTGGGAGAGGGGAGTGAGAGGGATTCAGAAGAAATCTAGAAAAGATGACTCAATTGGCTATTGAACCGCCTAACGGCTGACAACCCCCAAATCCCCAACCTACGGATGGACCTGGAAATGATGTCACTTATGGGCTCGCCACACCGCAGTAAGTGGGTGAGGACAAGTTGCAGAAAAAGGATTGACGGCATCAGGTTGTCCGTCCAGGAATCCAACTGCATTGATCCCTGCCCCCATAGAAGGTAATACTTGCCACCAGTGTGGGTGGCTAAATCTGAGTGGATCTGATACAAATTCAGTGAAGCCCCCCCCCCCCCCCCCACACACACGAACATGAGTAGTGTGTCTCTCTCTGTGTCTCTGTCTCTCTCTGTCTCTGTATCTGAAACCAACAAAGGCGGCAGGTACAACAATACACTTTCAAGCAGCTGAGCCCGTTGGCAACAGACCCAACGCTATCTGGCATTTATGTACCTACGAACCGAACTAGCACACATATACACACACACACACACACACCACACACGCACGCATGCACACACACACACACAGAATGGGACACTTACCCAATCAAGTGAATGAGAGACTCAAAGTGGGACTTTGTGAATAAGAAGATCACCAAAACTTTCTGTGCAACAAAACAAATAAACAACAATTACAAATTCAGCACCAGCAGCACCAGCACCAGCAGCAGCAAGTTCATTATGCGTACTAGGATCCTGGTAGGTGTGGGAGCATGATTCGAATTAGGGCTGAGTCGGGTAGCATTTTCCCCGGGTATCGGGTTCGGGTAGTTTTCCACGGGTAGCACGGGTACCCTATATCGGGTAATGTTTCCATGGTAACACCACAATGCACCCTTCCCTTACACACTGGGTAGACATGCAGAGTATTACATGAATTTGTACACGTACAATGTACACGATGTCATCTGCGACTTCGGGTTTCCGGGTACTATTCTGTACCCATCTACCCGAGGTCCTCACGGGTAGCACGGGTACCCGACTACCCGTGCACACCACTAGTTTGAATACAGTGTGAGAGCATGAAGTGTGAAGTGAATGTATACACATGGACATGTACTTATGCATGGGGGTTATGAATCTTATGATCGTACCGTAATCTCGCGCATAGAAGACCATGGTTTCACAATCGAAAAGTCGTTGCTTTCGGTCCTTTCACAAATGCATTTTCGTTCAACTATAAGAACATGGTCTTATAATATGGGCCGCGATCAGCTAAAACATGTCTTTGGGGTTTCGTAAAAAAGTTGGGAAATGACGAAATGAAAAAAATGTTTTTTTGGAGCGCGTTCACTCTGCACTTCATTCAAAAATTCATGATGTGGCGATCATCTTCTCAAATTTTGTTCAAACACTTGTTTGGCGTTCTACTTCAACTCCAGTAGCTGGCGAGCAAAGACTGACAATGTCCGCATCTAGTGATACTAGAGCAGCTCGCAGGGCCAGACGATCGCTGTGCATGGCCCAGGTTTGTTCAGGTGTCTGCAAGTCCGTGGCGGCGGGTCTGCAGAGCGACGCTGACAATTTGTTGGGATCTCATTGATGTTGATGTCGACAGCGAAGCTGAATCGTCCCCGTCGTCTCCAGTAGCGAAGAGGCACAAGTTGTGGGCTAGTACATAATCATTAAGGCGGCGAACCGGCTGCCTTACGACGTTACTTGCGTTCAGCTCTCATGGGACGTCTGACGCAGTCTCGGAAACGCAGGCGACGATCGAAAGTGTCACTGCCAGAATCGAAAGAGTATGCAAGTGCAACGCCGCCCAGCGCATCGTGTTGCTTTCCAGGGAGAACGTGGGCCATGCCTTTGACATGCTCAAGTCGGTGTCAACATCTTTAGTTCCGTTGTATTGTGCTCCGCCACAAAAGCCACTAAGTAATAGTTTGTCTCTTTGTGTCAGACTGTGCGAAAACTGTCATTTTCTATTTCAAAGTACATATTTTGAAAGCGGTGTTTGGGGCAGTTGTAGACTACTTTTCTGCCCTGTATCACCTTCAAGAGGTCAAGTAAGGTCCCAAGAACTGTTTTCTGGAGGAAAACAAAATTTGAAATTTTTCACCCAAAGACATGTTTTAGCTGGTTGTGGCCCATATTATGTGAGAGACGAACATCACATCGACATGTACTGTTGTGGACATTGAAGTCCGTTAAGAAGTCAAGCGGCCAGGGGGCGCTGGCCTGACAGCCGTGAGCCTCCACAACGACTACACAGTAACTGCACTGTCACTTGATCATAACCTCCACAACGACTACACAGTGCTAGTAACTGCACTGTGACTTGAGTCATTTGATCATAACCCAGCCCATAGCCCAGCTTTGGGCGCACTGCATGCAGCTTGAACTGCACACTCTCGGTCCTCCGTCCAAACTACCCGTCCACACTACCCGTCCACACTACCCGTCCACACTACCCGTCCAAACTACCCGTCCACACTACCCGTCCAAACTACCCGTCCACACTACCCGTCCAAACTACCCGTCCACACTACCCGTCCAAACTACCCGTACTACTTGCACATCATGCACAGCATGCATGGGTGTAGCGGCAACACGTGTCTGACAGTCCTGCTGCTTACCTGGAGGTGCATCTTGACAACAGCTTTGCCCAGCAGAGTTGCTCCAAAGAATGTGGGAAACGGCACTAGGAAGTGTCCACAAGTTATACCAGCTAAGTCAAACAGTGGATTGGGAATCTGTGAGCAAAACAGACAAGCCATACCAGCTAAGTTAAACAGTGGATTGGGATCTGTGAGCAACAGAGAGTAAAGCGAGTCAGTTGAGCTGCTAGTAGACACTATAAGAATAAGATGAAGAATGACAAACTGGAAAGTGTACATGGTTTGACAGAGGTTGAGTAGATTCAATGGACAGAACATAGCGAGTACAGGACACTACAGTATACAGTCCAGTGGAGTAAACAAGCTACCAAGCCTGAGTGTGCAACTCTGCATACAGCCTGGCAAACAACAACGACAACAACAACAACAGCAACAGCAACGACAGCAACAACAGCAACAACAGCAGCAGCAGCAGCAGCAACAACAGCAGCAGCAGCAGCAGCAGCAGCAGCAGCAGCAGCAGCAGCAGCAGCAGCAGCAGCAGCAGCAGCAGCAACAACAACAACAACAACAACAACAAAAACGAAAACAATACTGGTAGCACTAGCACGTACCGAGGCCGCCAGGAATATACCCCAGAATCCCACACGCTGTATCAGGTGGTGAAGAAAAAGCTTTGCTCTCCCAGTGAAGCTCTGCAAACAGACCAACAATACAGAAACAGGTGAAGGAAAACACAAGCAGTTAATGCATGATTTTCAAAAACCACCATACAGAAACAATACAAGCGAGTCCGAAAAGTTGAAAACCATCAGCATCAGCATCATCAGCACCAATACAGTCAGACCTCGCTTATCCCGTCCTCTTTTATCCGGATCCCTCGTCATCCGGAAGAAAATGGTTGGTTACCGATTTACAGCATATGCCATGCATACATACCGTACATGTATGTGTGTTCGATTATCCGATTCCCTCGCCTATCCGGATATTTTTGTGGGAACGGACGTGTGCGGTTAATTAAGCGAGGTCTGACTGTATCACCAGCACCAGCACTAATGCCAACACTCAACAACAGCAGCGAACCAGCATGACCAGCAACAGCACTAGAACTAGACCTAGCATCAGCATTACTAGCCCCAGCACCAATAACAGTAACAATGGGAGTCCAATTCTAACACGATAACGCCTATAACGCAATTCAAAACATGGACAGTGGAATCACTTGCACCAGAGTTCCATACGGACTTCTAGCATGCTCTCAAACCAAGATTTCATTGTACATGTACAAATGCCCCGTAAACACAGCCAGAACTCTCGCAATGTAGCATACATACACAGTGACACTCTGCACAGTACAAGAAGCGAAATCTCAAAAAAACCATGGTTTATCAGCTCAGAACCACCAAAATCTTTCAGAGTTCCCAAACCTGCCTGACATATAGAGCTCGCTTAAAACAAATGACCAGCACATAGGCAGACTGTGAAGGGAAGGTAAGCTCACTAGCGTTGAGAAAATCTTCAAAGACTTAAGGACCTTGCAATTTTTTTCAAAAACCGTGCATCTAGATTACTGAAATGCACCATAGCGCACCATTAATAATAAATTAATAATAAAGCACGACTAATGCAGCATAGCACCAGTGCCAACACCGGTACAGACATCACCAGCAACAATAGGTGGACATCATATCTACCTACACAGCGCTGATGAGTCCACAAAGGACGAAACAATTCTGTCCGCAGATCGAGTATTTCGCTTCTGCTCTGGTAGCAGTTGAGCACTCTCGTGTGGGGTAGTGCCTTTGCTGTTTGCGTTATGCAGAGCTCACTTACTCGTCAGTTTGAGCACTTTGGCAAGGTACGTTCGGGCCTGGTTTAAATCTGGCTTTGGAAAATTTAGTTTTCATTGCTATCAGGTTCGGCCTCATTTTCTCTGTGCTGCGCTGATGAGTTCACAAAGGATAAAACAGTTCTGTCCACAGATTGAGTACCTACCTACATAATAATACATGTAATAATAATATTCCTAGACGTCACGCTCAGCCTCGACACTGGGAAATTCCAGCCGTATCGTAAACCTGGAGACACACCTCTCTACGCCAACGCCATGTCCAATCACCCACCATCCATACTACGGAACATCCCTGATATGATCGCTCGACGTGTCTCAAGCATATCTGCCGACAGCGGCGTATTCGCCGATGCTGCCCCTACATATCGCAATGCATAAGCGGCCAGCAGATTATCTGCCAACATCAAGTACATTGACCCAACGCCACCTGCTGCAATGAACGGCAGCAAGCAAAAGAGAAAAAAAGGAAACGGAATGTGGTGTGGTTTAACCCGCCATACTCCAAGAGTGTCCGGACCAACATCGCCGGCACCTTCCTGCGGCTGATCGACAAGCATTTTCCTAAGGGATCCAAATGAACAAAACCTTCAACCGCTTCAACGTGAAGGTGAGCTACTCCTGTTTACCGAATATGGCCCACATTATCAGTGGCCAAAAAAAGCGTCAATTGTGCGTCCAGGAACCGGACAAGCCGTGCAACTGCCGTCGCAAGGACCAGTGCCCTCTCAACGGAGCGTGCCAAGCAACTACCATAGTCTACGCGGCGGAGGTGTCGAGTGATGGGCACAGCGATGGGCACAGCGATGGGCCCAAGACCTACATTGGCAGTACGGAGCCTCCATTCAAGCTTCGATATGGGAATCACAAGACATCCATCAAGCTTCCTGGAGACCGCAAATCCACGGACCTCTCAAATCATGTGTGGGAATTGAAAGATAATGGCAAGACGCACGACATCAAGTGGAGAGTGGTTCAGAAGGCCAAGGCCTACAGCAACATAACGAAAAGATGCAGCCTGTGCCTCGAGGAGAAGGCGAGAATAATCATTGCCGACAGGAGATCGAGCCTCAACAGGCGGTCGGAGTTGATATCTAAATGTCGACATCAAAATAAATTCATGCTATCAACATCAATATTGACATTAACATGATCTTCTCGGCACCCTGCTTCCAGGCAGTAGGGCCAGTTGATAGCCCTCTGCCGCCTTGTCACCATCATCATCTTTGCACCGCGCATCTCACTAGCTGTGCCAGCTCAGTTGTACCGTTTTATCACCTTTCTTAGTACCGCGATCCTTACTGGCTATGGCACTGAATCGGATATGAGTTGACAGCGCCCCTAGCGCTTTCTGTTATCCTTGTCCCGCCATACTGGGCTTTAAATAGTGGGTTATTTTTCTTGATGTTCATATCACCTGATGAGTGCCTGAGATGGCATGAAACTTTAAGTTGTGACTGATCAAGCCATCTGTTGTTCTGACTAGTGTGTAATAATAATATGGAATACACAAACGTCCAGAAGACCTACCTTGTCATCAGCATTCATTGCTTCTTCTAACTCTGGATCCATCTCCTGACCAGCCAAGCGAGCTACACCAAACAAATAGAAACAAAAAGAAGTACAATACATGATGAGCTACTGAACTGAGGCCGAAACATCTAAATACAAAAGAAAAAATATATGATGCATTAGTGCTGAAACGAATATTCGTTTGGTCTGTCACATTCGCAGGCAGGCAGGCATAGTGGGATGGTCTAAGACCATGATTGAGAAACAGAGAGTACCATGTTCAAGTCCTGCTTGGAAGTGGAAGGATTTTTTCCAGCCGTGCTGCGACCCAGTTAAAAAACATGGATGAAGTGAATGGGATTTTCGGCCTTCGACCTCTAGCTGAGTCTGACGCGAACTGTGAACTTTTTTGTCACGTTTGAAAGAATATCTCTCATGGCGAATATTCGTTACATCACCTCGAATGCAGTGCATGCACAGTTGCACATACATTCACACAGAGCACAATACAGTGCAGCGCCTACAGCCTCGCCTGTGACTTTGTACCACATGCACGCACATGTATGCGCATATACTGGACTACCAATGTTGTATATAACATGTATGTGCTTCCAAGTAGCCTTATCTAGCGGTACATTTTATGTGGCATTGCCGCTTGTCATGCCTAATAACAAATAGTGACAAACAATTCTGACTGTGATGTCATTCATGTTAACGAAAGAATATTCGTTCGTTGGTTCGTAAAACCAAAGAATAATTGGCTACTGGGTTTTGATATTCGTTTCGCCACTAGCCCTCCTACACCATGGGGATTCCTTTGAGTCAGGACTGCTACAACATGCCACTTTACTAGCACCATAGCAGTACTACTATCTCCACATTCCCCAGACATGCAACAGCATATTATCTACAGAGTCCACTATCTCCAGACATGCAACAACATAATATGTTGGACTCTGTAGATAATATCTACAGAGTCCAGATCAGTACAAGTAAATTGACCTCTATCCATTTTGTACTGCAAAGACACCAACATACCCACCCACCTGCACATCAACACCAGCAATTAGCCACATTTATGTGGGGCTCAATTTGCTAGAAGATAAAGAAGGAGAGACGGAGAGAGAGAGAGAGAGAGAGAGAGAGAGAGAGAGAGAGAGAGAGAGAGAGAGGAGAGAGAGAGAGAGAGAGAAGGGAAGGAATACAGACAGAGTGCGCAGACCTACCAGCTCTGGCAACAAAATACGGTGGCAGTTCACCAATAGCTGTCCCAGCTCCCTGGACAACAGCAAAACACACACACACACGCACATACATGTACATTGGCATTGAAATTCAATAGTTTTTTTTTCTCTCTCCCCTGCAAACTCAAGCAAGAAACTCCACCTTTGGCAGCTACCACACTCACTCAGTTAGAAGCCAGGGGCTTTCATTTTTTCAATGTATACTTTAAAAGGGTTCTGCTATTCAAGATGGACTTTAGGCCCAAACAAATAATGACCTTGTTTCCGGTCGGCCGACCGGGCCACTTTCTCCCAAATTCTGAAACTTTTTTTGGTCCCAAATGTATACAAACGATGGCATGCAATGCCATGTACATGTGTGCAAGTGCACTCAACGAGTCATAACTCAGTCAAATCTCAACCGAATTCCACAATCGAAAAACCTACTAAGGTAGCAGAGATTCTCAGCTGTCGGCTCGAAAACCTCCGGGGTCGATACGAGCTAGAATAACGGAGCTGGAAGGACTCGAACTGTTTGCTTGATTTCTCAGGATGTACGAAAGCAGGAATACACCGCATGCTGTACAAGAACAGTGAGTCAGTCAACTCTGACATTGATCCTTGCCATGATAATTATATGTACAATGTACATGTGTAGGTGCTCTTGTCCATCAATACCACAACGATTGAGGAACCAAAAAAAAGTATCCAAAATAGTTTTATTCCGGCCGGCCGAGTCTCCTTTTTGAGGGGTTGCCGACCGGAAACAAGCCTATTTTTTGTTTTGGCCTTATTATTAATTTTTACAATACCTTCACATCTGCATACCGATTAGTAAGGCATATCGCATGACGTATAGAGAGTAGAGGCCATGTTGGCATACAGCACCTGTAACCTACTGTATGCCAACATGGCCTCAACACTCTATAGAGAAGGGCTTTGATTTATCAAACGACCGTAGCATGGGGCTTCATTCGAGAGGGCTTCCAATCGAAGCAGCATGAGAAATACAGCCCCAAACACAAACCCTTCAGCAGCAGTAGCAGTAATGTATGGACCATATTGTGGCATTAGGACCGCAGGGACTGTCTTGGATTCATCGGATTATGGGCACACATGTTATAAACAATCGTTGAGAAGACAAAAATCGTAAAATTGCGATTAGTTATACCAACTGTGGTCTGAGCGTGGCCTGTGTCCCCTGTTGTCTGAGCATAGCCTGTGTCCAGTATGGTCTGAGCATAGCCTGTGTCCCCTTGGTCTGAGTGTGGCCTGTGTTCAGTATGGTCTGAGTGTAGCCTGTGTCCAGTATGGTCTGAGTGTAGGTCACAAGGAAAATGAAGAAGGCAGTGCTACCAGACCGTGTGTGTGTGTGTGTGTGCATGCGGGGGGGGGGGGGGGGGGGGGGGGCACGCCAGCATGCCTGCCTTGCAGGAGAGACTATCCGTGTGCATCACCTGTGTTGGCTTTGCCACCTCTCAAGGATCGATGACTCCAGGCTGCCGAAGCAGATCTTGTTCACAGAGGGCACAGACAAACAACCCCATTACGGACCCAGGCGTCAATGCAGGGTGTGGCAACTGCTGATCTGCTTGCGAACCAACACCTCAGAGGTACAGTGGTATCAGCTTGCCTGGGACCAGAGGGTCTGGGCTATTTTAGTTGTCAAAACCATCAAGCCAATCCAAGCCTAGTGCATCTTGTCTGTGCCGTGGTTGTGTTTTCCTTCCTCAGAATAACTTGTTTCGGTACAGGAGTCAATGTCTGGCCTAACAGTTATCATGGCCTTTGGCGATGGGCTGTCCGAAAGTCCAAAGGGACGCACGCGCACGCGCGCGCGTGTGTGTGTGCACGTGAGTGTATGTGTGTGTGTGTGTGTGTGTGTGTGTGTGCACGTGAGTGTATGGGTGTGTGCGCGCGTGTGCGTGTGTACATTTGTGTATGCATAACATACTACACTTACCCACATCATGGCTTCCCATCTGACTTTACTCATTATGGTCCAAAGAGACATGACAGCACCAACAGCTGGAGAACCTTCAGGGCAGATCAAGGCAGATCAAACTACGCATGAACCCAGAAGCAAACCAGCGCACAGCAAGTCACAATGTCGCGTGCACGCACACACACACACACACACACACACACACACACACACACACACAGACATGAACACACATGAACACGCATAAACACACATGAACACACATACATGAACACACATACATGAATACATGCATAGAGCCAAGGAAAGGAAAATTTAAAGGCCGTGTTTTGAACTCACTTTGGCTCAGGTGAAATGAGTACTTCATTGACTGCATCAAGTGAAGTGTCCGTACAGACAGTGTTGTATGTCCAAGAGCCATGCAACACACATCTGCCCCAGCTCCAAACAAGACCATGAAAGAGTCTAGGCGGTGGGGTGATCTGGCAGTAGCTTACGGTACATACACACGGAATAAAGGATTCATGATTTGCCCTGCACTGTAATACTCAGTCCTTGATGTGCAGCCAGAGTGGGTACCACACTACACCCCCTCCTCACACACACACACCATTGGACCATTGGACGCCCATCGCCAGAGGCGATGATAGCGATGCTACAGCAGAAGCCATAGCAGCTTGTGCTGGGATTGCACCATTCACCAGCTTGCAAAGCTGAAGAATTGACCGCCACTATTCAGCCTGGTCTACACCACACAGCTGTGAAGTGGCTTTTTCTGGCCAGTGAATCCCTACTTTCTGGTCTTTTTCATTTTTTTTCACACACACACACACATCACACCACATACTCCGGCATGCACTGGCTGTTGGTAACCACCCAGGAGAATGAAAGAAAAGTCAGGAGGGGTCTGAGAAAGAGAAGAAAGACGTGTGTGACCATAATCGTCGGGAATCGAACCCGCAACCTATCGATTGGAAATCGCTGCACATACCACTGCACCATATGGAGCACACACACCTGACCTTTGACGCCCATCGCCGGAGGCGATGATAGCAATGCTACGGCAGAAGCCATAGCAACTTGTGCTGGGATTACACCATTCAACAGCTTGCAAGGCTGAAGAATTGACCGTCACTATTCAGCCTGGTCGACACCATACAGCTATTTGGAGTGACATTTTCTGGCCAGTGAATCCCTATTTTTGGTCTTTTCATTTTTTTTTTTTCCCCGCACACACATCACACCACATACTCCAGCATGCACTGGCTGTTGGTAACCACCCAGGAGAATGAAAGAAAAGTCAGGAAGAGTCTGAGAAAGAGAAGAAAGACGTGTGTGACCATAATCGTCGGGAATCGAACCCGCAATCTATCGATTGGAAATCGCTGCACATACCACTGCACCATATGGGACAGAGCACACACACACACACACACACACACACACACACACACACACACACACACACACACACACACACACACACACACACACACACACACACACACACACACACACACACACACACACACACACACACACACACACACACACACACACACACACACACACACACACACACACACACACACACACACACACACACACACACACACACACACACACACACACACACACACACACACACACACACACACACACACACACACACACACACACACACACACACACACACACACACACACACACACACACACACACACACACACACACACACACACACACACACACACACACACACACACACACACACACACACACACACACACACACACACACACACACACACACACACACACACACACACACACACACACACACACACACACACACACACACACACACACACACACACACATGCACAGAAACAAGCTTTGTCTCTATCTTTCTCTCTGTGTGTCCGTCTGTCTGTCTGTCCGTCCATCTCTGTCTGTCTGTCTGTCAGTGTCTGTCTGTGATGAGACGTACCTGTCAGGGTAGGGTGGTGCTGGGAAATCAACTGACATACAACTCCATGCTGCCAATGTTACTGCAGCTATATGCGGGCCCTAATAGCACAAGAAACACCAACACCCACACGCACACATACACACACACACGCACACGCGCATACACACACGCATGCACACACGCATGCACACATACATGTACACCCGGACACATAACACAGGCATGCACATTATAGTTTGAGTAACTCAGCCCGGGCAAGAAACCTTCACAACCAGCTCATTCCATGAGAATATGAAGTTTTCGGCCAATGGCAGGGAGAATCCCTGTTGCTAGCCGGGCTGAGATTAGCAATTTTGGCAGTCTGAATCGATTTGAGAAGAGGGTTGGCAGAGAAAGTAGAATGGTGGAGTTCACAAATACCGTGAACCAATCTGCTAGATATTCAATCGCATGCACAGCCCTTAAGTCTGTCACAGTCAATCTGCTGCAACAGTAGACATTCAGTCAAATGCACAGCCCTGAATATGTCACGTTGTATTTGTGGTTTGTTTCACATGGACCGCTGCATTATCAATAGTGTGTTAACTGTTACACCTTTAGTTTTCTCCGTTCTATTCTACTCCTAGCTTGCCTCTTCCTCCAAGTGTAATGTCATCTAATCATTTCACGTACAACTGAGGACATATTTTCAGGCTCCACTATCATTGGCCTTTGTTATAGGTGATTAACTGACTATTTGGCATAGCACTCAACTGCTAAACAAGTACTTCCTCCGTATACAAAAACTTCGTGACTTTTTTTCAACGGTGTTTTTGAGCAAGAAACTGTTCAACGAACCTCGCCAAAGGCTGTCATCGACAACCCACATTCATGTTGAGGTAGGATTGGTTGATCTCGAACAAATTCTCCACAGAAGACATGCATGTGAGGACGTTGCCGACAGGAACTCACGAGTCAAATGACAAAAAAACTAACACTTACTTGCTCGAAACTGACACCGTGACGAAGTGGAGCTCGCGGCTGGAACACGGAGTCACGGGGCACTCGCTGCCCTGAAACTGGCCAGGCTCGTACTACTAGTATACTTGCGGCGCGCGGCCCCATACGCAGCGTGAGAACATAAAAATCGGTTCCGCTCGCATGACAAGATGAAACATTTCAGTCGTCGTGCAACCAGCGCAGACTCCGGATCGGAATGTCGACGACCTGGCTTTCTTCGCCTCTCTCCACTCCAGTAAGACGTCTCCGTTGTCGCCTAGGGGAATCGCAGGGGCCTCGTCGAAGCCTTTGTAGAATGCTGGGAGGATTCTCCTGCCGAGAAAATGCGAAGCGTGTGGATGTGCTTGAGCGACTCGTTTCACGGCGTAATGGAGGTCGCGGGTTGGAACGACTGAATATAGTCGACACCGATTCGTACACAGCTCTGGAAATGAAGACTACGTAGCCAAAGTCCCGCGTCGGATCATCATTGCAGCTGAAAATAATCTGAACGAAATGCGAGCGGAAGCAGCGACTGTTGGCGATGCGGAGTCAGAGTCGTCAGGTGACAATGACAGGAGCGACGAAGACTCTGAAAAAACTCAATCTCAATCGTCTGAGTTGCTTTTTTCTTTGTATACAGCTTGTAAATAGGTTAGACAATGCCACGAGTGTTATTCGAAGTCAAACGGAACAATTCCAGAGCTATGCGCAGCCTTCAAAAAAAAAGTCACGAAGTTTTTGTATACGGAGGAAGTAGTCCCACAAAAATCTATACATTAACAGTCACCTCCCAATCGAGCCACTTCACTATAATAATTATAGTGAAGTAATTATAGTGAAGTGGCATTTAAATATAGCACTAAACAGGTACATTTAGGAGTCCGTTCAGTTTTGATCAACTTCATCCAGCCGCGCAATCCCCTACAAGGACTCTTAATTTTATTAAGGAGAACACTTTTTCTACAAGTCCCCTATACACGGTTTACAAGTCCGGTAAAATCCAGTCACGCCATCCGGTATAGGGAGGCATTTTACTACTGTAAACCCGGGAATTTTCGGTGGTGAAATATTTTCGGTATTTCCCAAATCAAAGGTTCGGTAGCGGGGAAATTTCAGTGGTTTTCAGATCCCAAAATGTATTTCGCACACTGTGAGGCATGGCATTGTTGAATTTTAGGTCACGTTTTATTTAGGTAAAACATACCTGTACCGAAGTTACGGAAAATAAATCTCCACCGAAGTTTTCCTGTCTTACAGCATTCCTTGGTTGGTAAGGAGTACACCTGTTCAAACCTTGGCGGGGCACTCTCATGGTATGTTATGGTACACTTTCAAACACATCCTGTATGGAACAGTCACATGACTGGATAATGGAGTCGTACAAACCCTTGTACGACTCCTGAACTAGACCAAGTGGGGAGCTCCACATGAGGGTGTGCTTGTCTAAAAATTGAACTGATTTCTTTCCTCCAAGCAGCTGCGAGTCGCCCTCGTAGTGTAGTATCCCTGCCTGGCTAGTACGGAACTTTGCCTGACGTATATTTAGTGTATCCCCATACGTTAGCGTACGGGGTCTGTTGCATAAAAGCTGCTTGCCATTTCTGTTTTCATGAGATTTTATAACAACAACAAAGCCGAACAGAAGAGCTGTTCAACCTCCAGGTGTGTACCGGAGAAAGTTCTTTTTATTGCCGCTTCTTTTATTTACACAATAATCCAGGTGTGTACCTGAAGAAGAAGTACAAGTTAAATAGTGTTTTAACACCGTGCCTCCACTCGGCTACCCACTACAGTAGTAGTCGTTTCTCCGTTTACGGCTACAGTATGGCTGACGATGGTGGAATCAGTATGGGACCAAGAAACGAGCGGCGTCCAAGACAAAGAACAGGAACGCTGAGAGTTCTTGGTCGTCGTTTGACGAAATCAAGACAGTCTGCAAGCTGAAAGCAGAGAATCCGCAATGGGGATATCAAGACAGTCTGCAAGCTGAAAGCAGAGAACCCGTAGTGGGGATATCAAGACAGTCTGCAAGCTGAAAGCAGAGAACCCGCAGTGGGGAAAAAGAACAATCTTCAGCCATCTTGAAGGCGAATCAAAGCCAGTGCCAATATCCTCCATACAGAGGTACTACGAGACCGTCTTGTTCCGACTTGGAGGAGGACTGCCTCTTCCACAAGTCAACGGAGCTTACTGAGATCCATCATCGGTAAGGGAATGTTCATTAGGCGACGCAGAGTGCTATCCGGTAGAGTTGCAGTGGGCAAATAACCCAGAATGACGTGCAGAGCAGGCACAGTATGCCATCGGTGAAACGGTGTGGTTTTACCATGCTGCTCATCCTGGCCGTGCTGCAGGCAGTGCTGCACTTCGTCCACAGTGGTGTTGCGAAGGTGTTGTCGTTGGGCACGATGTGCAGGAGGGAGGATTTCTGCTCTATGAAATCGAGGCTGATGATGGTGGGGCAAATGCTTCCTTTGCAGGAGCCCATTTGCGACCCCGTCATATGTCGCCTGTGCGCGTTTGGCACACCCAGTTTCTGGAGCCCAGCGCCAGAAGACTGGTGCAGGGCTCCCGGGCCATCTCGGAAACGCCACTAACGGCAATGATCACGATGATCATGCCATTCCCTGCAACATTTGTGTCTTTTTTCTGTTCTTGGTTTTTCTTAGTGTTTTCTTGGCACTGCGTGTGTGTGTGTGTGTGTGTGTGTGTGTGTGTGTGTGTGCGGGCGCGCGCACAATAATTTGAGAACAATATAAGTTATGTACGTTCCTCAAAACTTATTTTTATCTTGAGAAGTAAATTATACCGTATTTCCGCGCATATAAAGCCATGGCGTTATATCCGAATATAAGGCCACCCTCACTTATAAAGCCATGGCGTTAGAAGTGAACAAAATTCAATGTGGAGGAAATTGCATCTGGCGTTAAAGGTAAGTTCAATTCTTTCACTGAACGTACAGTAGCGGTGATTCTCTCTGGATGTACCCATCCCCACTGTCACATGCCATACCGCCACCGCACCTTCACACAAGTTTGTATGCCACCTTGTACACAATAGGTTCACAATTTGAAATTTTCAGGGGGAAATTGAAAGTACATGGATGCTCGACATGAACGTGCAACGGCACCGTACGAGTACTCGAAGTTCATACTCTGCCGATTTTTTTGCATGTACGCGTCTCTCACTTTTAGCGCCATGGCGTTAAAACCGAGGCTATTTTCTCCAAAAATTTGGTCCAAAACAGCGATGTTTCACCTATAACGCCATGGCTTTATATGCGCGGAAGTAAGGTATAAAGGATCAAAGTGAGAGTTGGTTTTCCGGTTAATGTGCATTGCGTACAGCAGATCCTATGTCTAATTTCGAACTGTGTACAGGGCATGCCCAACTGGCTGGATACAGGGGGTCCACCATGTAAAGACTCTTTACAGTTGATTCGAAGTATGAACTGTGTTTAGCGGATTTCGGACCAATGAACTCTATATAGGGGGAGCAAATTGGCTGGACTCTAAACAGGGAGAGACGTACATCTAAACTTTGAACTTGAAGTATTTATTTACCGTTGATTCCAAGTTTGGACTGTGTTTAGCGGATTTGGGACCAATGAACTATATATAGGGGGTGGACATCACATAGGGGTTGGACTCTCTACTTAGTCCAACATATATATCCACACTGCAAGTGCCTAGACTCACCAAGTAGAGGACAAATGTATGAAGGCCTGTGCCGAGTCCAACCGAGGAAAGAATGCCAAGTCCAACCCACCAGCCATACCAGATGAAGCTGCTGCGAAGTGACACGATGTACTGTCAGCACAAGATAGCATGGCACACCACACACAGCCACACACAGACACACAGACACACCACACACACAGACACGTAAAAATCAGAATCAAACTAGGGCAACCCGAAAGTTCTTTGCACATGATGTGGAGATCTTTGGTGTACATGTATCTTATAGTCTCAATGGAGTCTCACATAACTACTTGAAATACAATAAATGGTGGTGTTCCTGTGAAGAGAAGACCAGCAGTGAAAAGCAGCAGGCTGACACGTAGCAGCAACAGCAGCACGATCAGGAGCAGCACTTACTGGGGTGTGTGCACCATCAATGACTGAAGCTACGGCCAAGACTGCACTGAGTAATCCCACAAAAGCAACAAACTGCCATCTCCGAGACAAGCTGGACAACATAAGTAATTACAGCAACCACAGCAGCAGCAGCAGCAGCAGCAGCAGCAGCAGCAGCAGCAGCAGCAGCAGCAGCAGCAGCAGCAGCAACAGTAGCAGCAGCAACAGCAGCAACAGCAGCAGCAGCAACGGTAGCAGCAGCAGCAGCAGCAGCAGCAGCAGCAGCAGCAACCACAGCAGCAGCAGCAGCAGCAGCAGCATAGCAATTAAGCTAGGGCTGAAACAATTATACCGACAACTCGCATATCGATCGTTAAGAGTGCAATTGATAATCGTTAGTGGTCAAAACGAGAGCTAACGATTCTTTTATGCATGCATATCAGTGACAGTATTCTCGCCCTTGCACTCCATCCGATAGTGGATACGAGTGCAATCATGTAACGTTACTTTCAAGCGCAGTAAAATTGATTTGTGGCTTTGAAAGAGATCGGGAGAGAAGACTTTGCCTTTTCGGTTCATTTGTGGGAGAAGTCGGAGATGAGAGCAGTTGCCAGAGGGTGCTGACCAGATTCTTCGCTCTAGAAACAACATGAAATGGCTAATGCTCTACTTGAGTAGTTCATGTTGATAAAACCAGCCACATATCTACAGATGTCAACATTGCAGTGCCACAAATTTCTAGATAGCAAAGGCATCATAGAATTTCTTCATAAACTGGTGTTCGATAGAGCCGACAAGAATCGATAAAACCAATATCGATCGTTAATGATAGTGGTTGATCGTTACTACGTTAGGGAGTTATTGAATGATCGTTTCAGCCCTAAATTAAGCTGTGTTCACAAATGGCGCATGTACGCGTGAAACCACGCGTTTGTGCGGATTTTTGCTGGGTTTTGGGGCGCCATGCGTACGAAAACGCGCCAAAATGGAAATTCCAACATGTTGGGATTTTCAGCGCGTATCAGGCGAATACCAGCATACATGCCAGTCACTTTGGCTGGCGGGGTAACAAAACTAGCACTCGAAGGCGTCGCACGCCCTAAATACGAGTCGAATTGCTGTTTTTTGTGAAAGCCTGAGCGCGCGTTTGGGCACGCATGAACCGCAAGCGTACCGCGTCCACGCGCCAGTTGGGAACACAGCTTAAGGCAGACAAGAATGATGTACTCATATCTCTCTTACTCGGACAACCAAGTTACGGGCACCTCAGTCTACCCGGTAACCTGTATAGTAGGTGAGTTTTAGTGGAAATATTACTCCTCTTTTGCCAAAAATTTACAAAACCCCAGAGAAATATTTTAGTTGACCTCGGCCCATTATCGTGTACTAGCTTTATTGTTGCTGGTGTATAACAGTATTATCTTGACCGATGTCCCCACATATACGTCCACCTGTCTGATAACCTTTTGAATCGGATAAGCACATGGGGTTATCCTCAGGATTATACGGGAGTGCAGTTGACAGATGTGAGTGAAGAGATGATAACTTAATAAGTAAACAAAAAAGAAGAGTAAATTATCGTGTCCGTTCCCGAAGGGAACTCACGACGGCCGCTAACACCCGGTAAACCCTAGCGAAGAGATAAGAACATTGAAGAAAGACAGCAGCAGCAGCAGCAGCAGCAGCAAGAAGAGAGGGACGCCCGTCAACATTGAAGTCGCTGGAGTTTGTAACTTACTACACAAGAAGATTAGACGACTGATACTTGAACTCTAGAGCAAAGTGATACAATGTCGAGAGTGGTCGTTTCCACAGCAACAACGAGTCAGCATAGGTTGTTGCAGTAGTGTGGGTAGGTGTAGCTTGAGAAGCAGCAGCAGCAGTATCTATACAACATATACAACACAGGAACGCACCACAAGAACAAAGCAACTTGACCAGCAATAGCACAAAAAGGGGGAAAGGTGGATATAAACAAGTAGACGGATTGTACCTCTGCACATACACAAACACCGAGGTTTAGGATATAGGACATAGCGTGTACTGTATTAGGTAGTCTTGGGCCACTCGACGTACTCCAATCATTCCCACTGGACCCCACAACCTACCTACTGAACCCCACAGCATTCTCCGTTGATCTCGGCGCAACTATTGTCCTCCCGCTGGCATTCCACCAGTATCTTGTACCCCAGCTTCAGCCAGATAAGAACAGTCAGGTTAGCTGAAGTGGCATGAGTGAAGTGATGCACCATACAGCAATCATGCTAGTGAGTCGTGACCTTTTCCTTCTCCTTTTTACACCCGCATGCACGGTGATGATATGCAAACAAACCCTAGGGTGGAATGGGTGTTTGCACTGTGTTTAGGTACGCGAAGCACCCACTTCGTACAGCAAATGTGTACGGATGACATCATAGCGCCATAGTGCATACGGTCTACACACATCACACACATCACACACGTACTACGCAGGTAGTTGCGCATCGGAGCTTCAAGCTTCGATATAACAGTGTATTGCCTATGACGTCATAAATATCCACCCGGAACTTCACAGCATGAAAAAATAAAATCACGCAACCACATCACTACAGTTGCCTTTTTTATTTCCGCTCGACACGAAGTGATTTAGAAAATCTGAGCTCTTCTTCTCGCGATTAGAGATGGATGAAAACTCAATCCGGCAAGCTGTTTCATCAGCCGTTATGGATCTCCTTGCTCCGATCAATGATCGTCTACGTGCTTTGGAAGCGACGGCGGCATGTAGAAGGGATCTGGCCAGGGGCCAGTCCTCGCAGTCCAATGGATCGGAGCCAAAACTATCCAGGTTGAGTGCAGGCACTCAACCCCGGGAAATCGCCAGTTCCTTGGGCATGCCCAAGTCTGGTTTGTCAGGTGGAAGTTTGTTGCTTCCACCTAGCTCCTCGAGTGGGCAGGCCTGCTCGAGTGATGCTGATTTGAACGACACCACGAGTGGGCAGGTACCCTCGTGTGTGGACGTGAGCACGGACGACCCGGAGCATGCTCCGGTGTCCTCAGATATAAAACAGTTCCTTCAGACTCGCTTCAGGAAGCCCTTGAAGGGCAAGGAGCGCAGGGACCTAGTAGAGCAGTTTTCCCGACCAGAGGTGGACGTGGCGGTCACACCTAAGCTAGACCATGAGGTGCTGAATTTACCTGGTGTAAGGCAGTCATTCAAGAGGTCGCGAGACAACATGTTGTACTCGCTACAGAGCAGCGTATTGGATTGTTTGGGTCCTCTCTCTGCCCTGATGATGGAGGTCAAGGCAGCGCAGGACGCTGGTGCAGGCCTAGGCCCGCAAGCTGTATTGGACATGGTGCCGGCTGGCTAGTCTCTGCTGGGCAATGCCAACAGTAAGCTCTCGGTGCTGACGCGCCAGGAGTTCCTAGAGCATCTTGATAAGAGCCTGGTACCCATGGCGGAGGAGCCATTTGATAAAGCGGGCACGGCCCTGTTCGGCCCGGAACTATTGGAGCGCATCCAGTCCAAGGCAGAGCCCAGGAGGCGCTGGCCTTGGTTGTGAAACAATACAAGGACGCTCGAGGTCCTCCACAGTCGAGCGACAGCAAGTCTGGCTCTGGAGGGGCGTCAGCGGGTGAACGCCAGTTTTCCGAGGTACTGGGGTCAGCAGGTACGGCGGTGGCTCCCGGTACGAGCCTTACACCAGCCCGTACAACCAGACTCAATATAGCCGAGCCGGTCGTGGCTATGCTAACCGAAGCCGGATGCTTCCCCCAACAGAGCAACAGGACGGTCAAGGACCGGACACCAGCTACTCAGCATAGCGGCAGTGTGGATGTTAGTGCCAGAGGAGGTCTGGACTGGCGGATGCTGTTCATCGTATTGGCTCAAGACTGGGCTTTGCCTCTCTAGCAGGTGTGTTTCGCGCCTTTCCCAGTACCGGAGCTCTGCTCGGTACAGCATGTGTGTTGGCGTAGGTTTCGCGCTCCGCATCGTGGCGTACGGCGGACAGCACGTATCCGTCCCTCTTAGGGTCATTCCGGGGGGGGGGGGGGGGGGGGGGGGCTGGCATCAGCGGCAGCAGCCACTTATAGTGCAGCCGTTCTCAGCTCCGGGGTTTGGGCTATAGCCTGACCTGCTGCTATCAGGACACTTAGGTGCCTGTCCCGTGACTAGAATGGTATCCATGCATGGGAATGAATATGTTTATCCCGCGTGTGTTTATGTGTCGTGTGCGCTTTGAAGTATACACTGTTATATCGAAGCTTGAAGCTCCGATGCGCAATTTCCCATTTCGCCAGCAATGGTACATTGTGACGGGAAGTGGGAGCTCTGCTAGGAGCTGAGAGCGAGATATAACAGTGTCCCACCCACCCTCCCATTATGGGTTGGTGCATATTTTGGGAATGATTCATTTTTTCCTGTCACATATCCGTAGTCTCGCTTCACTAAAAAGGCAACTGTAGTGATGTGGTTGCGTGATTTTATTTTTTCATGCTGTGAAGTTTCGGTCGGATATTTATGACGTCATAGGCAATCCACTGTTATATCTCGCTCTCAGCTCCTAGCACAACTCCCACTTCCCGTCACAATGTACCATTGCTAGCGAAATGGGAAAGTACACCACATAGCTACATGTACTTACCATAGCCATTGATGCGCTCTTGTTGATCTTCATGCTCTTCACGCTCAGCAGCTGTCATGGACATCGGAATCATTCTTTCTTGACCTGCACTGGCTTCAGATGCGGTTGGCGTTGTGCCGTTACTATAGACACAGACACACACACGTACACATGTACACACACGTACACAAAACGTCACTACAACCCAATAAGAAAACACAGACCTACTAGTATCTGGTGCAATCTTCTCCCCGATTACACGTATCTATCGGCTCAGTTAACCCTTTGGAACTGCACTGATCACACGACGTCAGGAGATAGCTGCAATTGCAAGTATATTCGTTCCAATTTCCATCATAACGCTGGTTCTACTTCACCGATTCTGACGATCTTGGGCTCGTTGGAAAGCTCTTGGAACGAGGATAACAGCGAGCCCAAACTCATTCAGGAGAGCGATTGCTGTCTGCTACCGAATGCCAGGAACGCCAGCTGAATACCAAATCCAAAACGGGAATAGTCCTTGTCTCGCCATTTCACTCGTGCTAGCTCAAAATCATTCAAATTTTTTCTAACAGGCTCACAAAAGCCGTGACAAAAAGCGCTGGGAGTGATGTCACACGCTGCGTGGGCAGGAAGAGGGAAAATCCCACTTTTGAACGAAATTTGCACTTCGCTGACGCATGAGAAATCGAGCGAACTTTCGAGCACTCGCCGCTCTGTTATACTAGCTCGTATCGACCCCGGAGTTTTTCGAGCCGACAGCTTAGATTCCCTGCTACCTCGTAGGTATTTCGATTGTTGAATTCGGTTGAGATTTGACTGAGTTGTGACTCGTTGAGTGCACTTGCACACATGACATTGGCATCGTTCGAATTCGAACGATGAGCTCCAAAGGGTTAATGAATGTTTTCAGCTCGGTGTGCAAATCATCGGGTCACAAAGAGCTCGCCCTTCATGAGTAAAGTAGAGCAGGGTACAGTAAACACCTGGTGTAAGCCACCTCTCGTTTTACCAACCACCTGCTCTTAATGATCGTTTTTCCATGCACCGACAGTTCTACACAGACACTGTGGGACCTGGTTCTAAAGACCACCTGGCTTTAATGACCGCTTTTCCTTGCACCGTGGGGTGGTCGCTTAAACCAGGTGTTTACTGTACTATGCACATGGATATACTTCTAAGGATAGATAGAGATAGATAGATACAGTGGAACGCCAATTATCCGGACGTCAACTATCTGGATGATCGATTATCCGGATCACCTTGTCGGGCTGGAAAATAAAATATTAACAGCTTTTCGAAAACGAATTGTACAAGCCGAAAGCCAAACTCCTACAGTACTCCTCATGCATGACATTGTGATGGACTAGTTGACTACATAACAGCTTTTTCAAGGGTTTTGCTGAATTTCCCCAATCGGAGCACCATACAAGCGAAGCACGAGATTAATTACAACAGGTTGGAGTCAAGATGATTGTATGACGATGCGTCATTTTTAGGAGCTGGAGTGCACCTAGTTCCTGCTGTCCTGTCAAAGAGAATGAAAAAACATGTGGGAATACGCATGTTTTGGATAGATGTGTGACTGCTCCCTTATCCGAACATTCTTCTCATCCAAACCTCCTGGAGATAGCGTGCGCGCGAGGGGTTCACATAATCGGCACTCTACTGTATACAGATATAGATAGATAGATAGAGTGGAGGGAGAAAGAGAGAGAGAGAGAGAGAGAGAGAGAGAGAGAGAGAGAGAGAGAGAGAGAGAGAGAGAGAGAGAGAGAGAGAGAGAGAGAGAGAGAGAGAGAGAGAGAGAGAAAGAGAGAGAGAGAAAGATAGAGAGAGAGAGAGAGAGAGAGAGAGAGAGAGAGAGAGAGAGAGAGAGACACACACACACACACACACACACACACACACACACACACACACACACACACACACACACACACATATATGCACACAAATGGAGAAGGTAAGAGAGATATGACCGTACCGGTTCTGCTCGCCTTCATACAAAGAAGCTGAATTGCTTTCAGCCAGCAAGTTGAACTGTAGGGAACACACACAATCAGACAGATTAAACAGATATAATTATCACATACAGTCAACTTCGCTAATAACGACTGCGGATATAACGACAATTCGCGAATAACGACAGAATTTCCATGCCCAGAGAAAAGTCCCATCCAACTGGAATACATACAATTAGACTTCGGGTATAACGACACTTCGCGAATAAGGACACTTTTCTGATACCCCGCCGAGTGTCGTTATAAGCGAAGTTGACTGTAGATACACAGGTTATAGCAATTTCCAGGAACGTGTACGGAGCGCAGAGCTGTTTACACATGCCAGAATGTCGCATAGAAAAGCCGTGCTTATTCCTGTAGACACTGATGTCAGTGCTAGGCTTCTATTCGAAGCACGTATCTCTATGCATGTCAATACTAAAACTAGGCTTATGTGCTGACAGTGTATCTTAAAAATCAGGCTTATATTCAAAATAGGCTTCTATACGAGACAGGCTTTTTATACAAGACACTACAGTATCACAGAAGAGGTGCAATAGGATGGCGTTGTGACTTTTAAAGTTTCATGCCGCAGCAATCGTCAGACAACAGAATATAAAACCCGGGGTCTAATCACTGTAACACTATCCATGTGTGAGGTATGGTGCAACGTGCTAACTCTGCAGGACCAAACAGCTGACCATCCTAAACAACACAGGGAATCCCAAGATCCTCAACAAAAGAACGAGCTGGGATCAACATGTCGACATGAGAGCAAATTTCACTCATGAAACTTCACGCTTGGCGTGACCTGACAAGTTAATAGCGAGTGGTAGCAGTGCGAGATTCCCTGCACAGTCTGGACTGGCAATACAGGTACCGGTGCTAACCATAACACCCCACACCCCTGAGAACTGCATGCCCACACCTTAGCAATTTACATGTGGGGCAACGCTTGCTCAAATTGGCACCACCAACTATGCAGCGCCATGCCCCATGCACAGCCTAAATGGGGTGAAACAATCATGCTGATAACTCGTTATGGTTGTTCTCGATACTCGCTAACAGTTGCAAAATGTCATTATCAAGTACTGGCAAGGCTTTTCACCTTTCAGCCACCATTATGCTAGAAAGACAGGGGGGGGGGGGGCAAATTCACTAACAACTCTTATCACGATACTGTAAACGGCTCATTTTAGCGATGGTGAAAATTTAGCGATGGTGAAAATTTAGCCACTTTAAAAGCAACAGGAATATTTTTCCGCTAAAGTTTAGTTGTGCCAAGCGAAAGTTTGTTCAGCATAGCATGCGGCATGCATGCATTAGTTCTGACATGAAGCGCTGATCGCTGAACAATTTCCTCGCAAAATTGTGCTGATTTATACTGAAGTTTTTACCTGCCAAAATTATCCGTTTTACAGCATCTACTGGAGAATTGTGATTCCAAATGGTCTGGCATCTGTGATCTCATGATTCTCATGTGCTTCGTTATTGTTTTTCTCGCAACAGAAAGGAAAGTAGCACCATTTCAATGAACTCGAACACCTTGATAGTTAACAAAATACATATGTAATCGAATTTCCAGTGATCGTTTCACACCTATGCATGGATAGTATTATAATGATTGGTCACCAGGTTATATTATCAGCATTTCGAGTAATGTGCAAGCGGCTGTGCTGGAGTCTGCAAACAATTTAAAAAATTGTATACGGCTAATAAAAGACAATGGCTGACATGACATTGTAAGGGGTCGTCGCAAAAGTTTTCTGTCGTCCCTGAAACGGACATCGTTCATTTCGTTCTCGGACCCCCTCCCCTCCCTCTGAAACGAACACAGCTTGCTATGCTGGACGACGGAAATCGCATTCATGTACATGTCATATGTACAGTGTCGGTCGACTTGCGATTTTGGCTCGCACCCCCTCCCCCCCCCCCCCCCAAATGAATCATGTTCGTTTCAGGGACGACAAAAAACTTTTGCGACGACCCCTAATGTCACCTTAGCTCAGCCATGTTGTTGACGTGATTTGTATTGTGGGCTAAACTAGCAATGCCAGTGAATGCTGCAAGTCTCAGCCGTGTGTGTGTCGTCTTCGGGGTAAGTAATTGATTTATTACATTCCTCGTAATAATGAAGATATCCAATCACGTAATTCAGACCTACGTACATAATTATACATTAGTAGTATGCACGCCTTGCTCGATAGTTTAAAGGAATACATCAGGGAGTACCAAAAAACGGTTATTATTTAGTACTCTGGAATACATGTACATTATTACATTACATGTACAGTCCATTCATCGGAAACTGGCCCGCTGGCTTTTGAAAGTCGGATTTGGGCCGAATTGAGGATCAAAAACCCACTTTAAATCTCAAAAATCTGGGTTTGGGATCTGCTTCTCCATACATTTTGCCATGGCATACCTGTCCTAATTTTGTAAAACCTGGCTGAATTTCTATTTCCCTGTTCTTGGACTTTTCTGGCCTCAAATGTGGCAAGGAGTAATTGCACGGGTCACACAATGCAGGATGTACTGTTGTTTTCACGATATCTACAACTATGTGAGAGAGACACCAAAAAGTTAGGGTGCCAGTTTCCAATGAATGGACTGTAGTATAGTGCTACATACCAGCTGGCGTTTCGTTGCTCTCTCGGGGGCTTGAACGCCCCTCGATTCCAATTCTTGCTTTAACTCAGATGCAGTACTCTGATCATAAACTGGGCTTGCAACTGCAGCAGCTTGTCGAGATCGTGATGATGTGGTTCGTCTGGGGCTACGTCGAAGACTATCAGTCTCCATGACTAAATGGGTGAAGTTCTAAAGGCTTCAGCCACTACCTACCGTTCAGGTTCAAGCTAACTACACTTGTAGCCTTCAAATAAACCCTTTTGTCCGAGGAAAATCTACAAGAAGGGCATCGTCTTGGCAAATACACGTAGGACTGCTGCTGCATGCTGAGCTTTTTCAAGATTTTGTTTTTCGTTTTCTGTTCACGTTTTTTGTGTCGGCATATCGCATAATCATCGATCTGCAGTGAAGAAAAAAAATTGATGAAGAAAAGCTGGCTGGCTGACGTCACTCATCCGATATGTGCACGTAAAGGGTGACGTCATAACAGAGGCCGAGATCAAAGTTTCATCAAACCTCCTTGGCTTGGATCCTGCATCTGCATGCAGCGCTGCCAGATCAACCTCAAATGCTCAATGCACACACACTAATCCTACTCAGCGCATTCAAGCCAAGTCAAAACTGCTGAGAAAATACAAAAAAGTGAACTGAGTGAGGAGGAAACAAACAAGTGTTCTATACTTGTTGGTAGCTGTTCTTCTTTCTTCATTGAGCTATGGTTCATTAGTAGTTCTTGTCTAGTGTCATCATGGGAAAGTCCGATTCCAAACTTGGAGGTGTTAGTTACGACGAAGCGGCCAGAAAGGGTACGTCCTCTTCTCACTTCTTTTCCTCTAATGATAATATTCTTTGGTGACAACACCACCCATTTATCGATATTTTGCTGGCTTGGACTTTTCAGCCTCTGAGGATGAGTTGGCTCGCCTTCGGAATGCCTTCAAGCGAGCATCGCATGCTGGGTATATGAACAAATCGTTGTTTGCTCGTGAAGTGCTGACGGATGCTGTGCCTCCTCAATTAGCTTTGGTGAGTGAAACCTTGACCTGAAGCTATTGTCCCACCTAATCCTATGTGTAGTTGTGGCTGGCGTGTCTGCTCCAGGTAATTGTAGCACAGTCATGCAGTAGTAATTTGGCACCTCATCGGGTTTTAGTTTGGGAGCGTTGGAGTTTGCTACCTTTGTATTGATCTGCATTGTACATTGTATTTTAAACGTAACTTTCAATGCACTGGTGCACTAGATTTATACTGTGCTCTACTTTGTATTAGTAGCCCAGTTCTCAGTCTGTGCAATACCTACTCTGCAGAAGAGATTCAGACTTTGTGTGACAATAGGGATTCTGCGTCTTGAAGTCTTCTTGAGACAGCCACCAACACTTCACGCACACGCATGCACGCGTGCACACACGCACACGCACATACACACACACACACACACACACACACACACACACACACACACACACACACACACACACACACACACACACACACACACACACACACACACACACAATGACAGTTGAAGACAGGGTAGGGTTGTTTGTATGGTCAGGCCATGCTTGTTTGGTATTCTGTTATTCGGTTCCTTTGCAACTTGGTGGAGAATTGGTGGGAATAGTAAACACGGTTGAGCTCAGTGTGGCACGCCTTCAGTTATTCGACTCCCTTGTCAATGCGGGTATTTTCGTGAAACAGCAGCATGTGCAGATCAGCATGGTCTGGCTGTACGTTGCTGGCAGCATGTGCAGATCAGCATGGTCTGAGTGAATGTTGCTGGCAGCATGTGTAGATTAGCATGGTCTGACTGTATGTTGCTGGCAGTGCTGTAGTTCTGAGGTTGTGTTTTTAACATGCCCATCGTGTCATGTCCATCGTAAACTGGCTAGAATTCACATTCTCTTTGGCCGGGTGCTCGTGCGCGCGTGTGTGTGTGTGTGTTGTGCATGCATGTGTGTGTGTGTCCGTGTGCGCGCATGTGTGTGCCCATATGTGTGTGTGTGTGTGTGTCTGTGTGTGCCGATATTATCTTTGCTGCTGTAGCAAATTTACGAGGCTGTGGCGACTAGCAATCGTGGTGTTTCCCAGCGTGAATTGATCTCCTTCCTGGTCCTCTTGTCTTGTGGTACAACTGAACAACGGATGAAATGTGAGTGATATGTGTCTGGATTGTGTGCAGTTGTGCGAGCACGTGTGTGTGTGTGCGCGCGCGCGCGCGCGTGTGTGTGTGTGTGTGTGTGTGTGTGTGTGTGTGTGTCTTTGTGCGAGTGCTGAGCACAGAACAGCACATCCTGATTTGGCACACAAGTCCATTGGAACGGGCTGCTCAAATAAGGTGTCCTGAATGGTTGGAATGAATTCCACATTCCCTTCTCTGAATGACATTTTGTGATGCCTTTTTGTACTGAGTGTGATACATGTATGATAAACCTTGTTCATTGTGCATAGGACAGCTGTTCACACTAAACTGATGCAGATCAGATGCGGAATGACTAAAGCCGCTTCTTTGTGGAATACGCGTACATGTAGTTGACTACTTGTTGACCGTCTGATCACTATTTATTTTGATATCGTCACCACCACCACAGCGTATCTAGCAGGTGCCTTTGTTTACAACACGTTACGTGCTTTTGTGTGAAATTGTGTTGCCTACCACTATATATCAATGTAATTGAGATACTGATTAAGTAATGATCAATGGTGTGTGTGGTGTGTGATTGCCGTGTGTATTCTGTAGTGCTCTACAGTATTTGCTCACGCGATGGAGAGACCGTAACACAACCTGCTTTGGACGGACTTATTGTCGCATGCGATGGAAAGTCACCGCAGGGTTTGGCGGAGTTATTTGAATCACACCCTCGCTCCAAGGTACATAGCTCTCTTCTGCTGTCCATTCTTCCCGGAGCTGGAACCGGTAGCTTTCCTCAACTAGATATTTAAAACATACCGGTCACATGACCAATGTAGGAACAAGGGGTTTAAAACACCATCTGCTGCTGCAAGCTGTACTGATCAGATTGCCTCTGTTCTGCAACACTATATTAGTACACTACGCATGCATGTTTCGGGTACCTTGCTGACCTCGCGCAACAGAGTACATGTATAATGATGATCTGGTGTACATATGCTGAATGTACAATACTGGCTCTTCCCTTTTATTTGTATTATGGGTATGACGTACACGAATCCCCGGTCTGTCCTACGCAGCTATGAGTAGCTGTTCAGCATGTCAGCTGGGTGGATTAGCCAACACGTTTCAAGCATCCTTGTTTGTTGTTGTCTGTTTGTTGTCTGTGTTGTTTGATTGGTGTGTGCTACATGTATTGTGTTGGTAGAAGTCTGGCCAATCCTCACGTCACCAGCAGCTGCAAAGCGAGATCTCCGACACTGTGGACTTTGAGAAGTTTTCTAACTGGGCTAGGAAGCATTACAAGTCTGTGTCGTTCATGCACTGGTTACTGGGTGAAGAGCCTGGTACACAGCCCTGCCTATCAGATAACAGTCAAACACCAACATTCTACCAAGTGCTGGCTGGAATGACGCATTGTAAGTCTTTTACTGTGTTCATTATTACCTGTACCCGGTACTGCAACTGCTGTTCTTGTTGTTCTTTTTCCGGCTGCTGCTGCTGTTGTTGTTCTCTTGTACTTGTGCTTGTTCTCGCTGGTGCTGCTGCAGTTGTTGTTGCTGTTTCTGTTGCTATCTTTGCTATTGCTGTGCTGCTGCTGTTGTTTCTGTTTTTGCTGCTGCCGCTGGTGCCGTCGCCGATGCTCATGCTGCTGACACAGCTGCATGTGTCGGTACTGCTGTTGCTGCTTCTGCTGCTGGAGGTGTCAGTAGATGTTTGCATTGTCTTTTCTGTTGTTCTCTTTGGTAGTCAACAGTCTTATAGTAGTCGTAATACTTTGAAATATAGATACCAAGTGTGCACAGTCCAGCATGTTTGACACCACTTATGTGTTTCTGCTGTGGGTTTCTTCTGCAGTGAACGACACTGAGGTTGCAGAGTTGGAACGGCGGTATTGGCAGCTGAAGGCATCTAGCAAGACCGGGAAGTTAGACCTGGAGACACTAACACCAAGCATCTCACCGCCGTTACCACTACCTGCTTGTGCTGGTAAGTGTCTTTGACTCTTTGTCAATGCAAGAAGCTCCCCTCTCATCTCCCTCTCTTCCTCTGTTCCCTTCCGTCTCTCTCTCTCTCTCTCTCTCTCTCTCTCTCTCTCTCTCTCTCTCTCTCTCTCTCTCTCTCTCTCTCTCTCTCTCTCTCGCCTCCCTTTCTCGTCTCCCTCTCTCCATCTCTTGTTTTCATCTTGTCTCCCTCGCCTCCCTCTCTCATCTCCCTCTCTCCATCTCTTGTTTTCATCTCGTCTCCCTCTCCCGTCTCCCTCGTCTTCATCTTGTCTCCCTCGTCTCCCAGTCTCTTCTCCCCTCACACTACCCCCTATCAGAGTCTGTTCTAGGATTTCAAACCAACCGGGTCCACATCTATCTGGCACAACTCTTGTAACCGGGTCAGAGCCGGGTACGTTCAGCTACTGTATATCAGGGAGTCGGAATTATCTTCCCATTCTCTGATTTAATCCCAACCTGGTCACAAGTGACCCAGTGTTCTTTTTCCAAACGGGTCGCTGATCCAGCTGACCCGGCTCTGGAGCATGTCTATATCATTACTGGTGTCGCACGGCATCATCCTCAATAGCATGTCCATGTGTGTGTGTGTGTGTGTGTGTGTGTGTGTGTGTGTGTGTGTGTGTGTGTGTGTGTGTGTGTGTGTGTGTGTATGTGTGTGTGTGTGTATGTGTGTGTGTGTGCATGTACGTGCGTGCGTGTGTGCATGTGCCGGCACGTGTGTGTGTGTGTGTGTGCATGTGTATGTATGTTTGCTAGGTTTGTATGCAGCTATCGATACCAACAGTGATGGTCATTTGGACTTCAAGGAGATGTGCTGTGCAATCTCAACATGTTGTCTAAGTGAGAATGATCAGGAGCAGTTCAAATGTAAGTCACTTCTCCATGGTTCTCTAGCACTGTACAGGTCTGCCCTCGTAAGGACGCGTTCAGACTACCGTGAACCCGTCAAACCGTGAATGGCGATGAACCGTGAAGGACATTCACACTACCGATAAACTAACGTTACCGTTACGTACGTTTTGCAGCTCTCACCTTGGCACTGAGAAGGGATTTTCCCTTTTTCCCAGCCGGAGCACTTTTTTTACTGCCGGAAAAGTTCTACTGCCGTAGCAGCTGTGGCAGTAAAACCTTTCCACCGGTAACGTGCCAGTAACGTCACGTGATCAAATCACCTTGGAAATTTTCCCAATCGATCACTTTTTATCGGTAGTCTGAACGCGCCCTTAGTAGATACCCCCAGGGGTTTTCAATTCTTTGTCTTATAAACGCGTATTATCTACGTGTACTATCCGGACTTGAATATACGTGTTTCAGGCGTCAGGGTATTTTGGATCGTTGTCTACTACTGAGGTTCGTCTTGTAACTGATGTTGCACTACAACGAGAGTAGCACTGTAGCTCTGACCAGTTTCAGTAGGTGTGACTGTAACCTGTGCAAGTATGGATAGTGCTGTCTCTGCCTGTTAGATTGCACTCTTTATGCTAGCTTGTTATGTTATATCAAGGACATGGGAGCACTGGCACTTGACTGTCCCTATTATCAGCTGCTCCAACCCACCTTGTCAATGCCTTCTTGTAGGAGTCAAGCTCATAATGTGCTTTCATATCTGATTGTACACACTGTACTAGCTTGCTGTGTAGTGATGGAAACTACACCAGTATACGGTAGTTGACACAGCTGGCTGTAAGCTGCCTGAGGTCATATTTCTGAAATTCTCAATCAATGACATCATGCTCCTCCATGTGCCTAGCAGGCAATCACACAAACACATATACCACATGCCACCTACAGGTGCTGCTCAACTATTCTATACTGTGCGTTTACCTAGCACCCCTACCCCCATGAAACTATGTAGTGCCAGACCTGCACGCATTGGGCTTTGTGCTGGTGCGGTATGCAGACTTGTTCATGAAATTGGATTTCATTGAGTATTGCTCTAGATACATTGTAATGATATGCCGCCCTATTAACCATATGGGTGCTCGTACTTACTAACGTACAAAGAGATGACTTGTATGTTACCCTGTACTGGCTGTAGTAGTGTTCCTGCTGGTGTTTTCATCATGGCATACTAATGCTACATGCGGTTGTTGGTTACCCTTTGTGTTTGCTATGCAGTCTGCTTCCGTGTGTTTGACATTGATCGTGATGGTGTGCTCAACACCGCTGAACAGGCGTCTATGTTCAACACACTGGCATTGATTACGTACGCTAATGTCAACGGAACGGTAAGCTAATAGTATGTAGTCACATGACAGTTGTGCTTGGTGAAATCCGACCCAAAGTGCATATTTGGCGCCCTTAACTTTCACGGCCCTGGAAACGGTATGAATGTGGCTACAGGTACGGTCATGTAATTTGAATTGGTTCAGGGTGTCAGGTTTGCACGCTGGGTTGGATTTCAGTGAACCCGACTGTACTACAGTAGCACTGTAGGCATTCCTGTTTTCATGCTTTCTCTGTGTGAACGAATGCCGATACGGAAAAGTCAGTCTAACTATTCTCATGTGAGATGTGAAATTGTTTGTGTGTGAATGGGCATGCAATGTGTGATTCACTTGCCCTCGCCCTTGATATTGATCGGTGTATATCATTGACCACTGATCATGTAGATGCTTATGATGTATGGCGGTCAATAATGGTACTGGAAGGCAACAAATATTCGGCGCATGTTTATTTTCGGCTATTTTCGGCCTGGACATGTTTGGCCGAAAATTTGCTGCAGCCGAAATTTTGTTTTGCAAGGTTCAGTGTGACAGTGTATACAGGCGGCAGCAGTACAGGTCGAACATTTGATGCGGCCGACATGTGTTTTAGTCCTGGGAGGCTGAAATTCGAATGGGGCGAAAATTTGTAGACTTACAGTATGCAGCTGGTTTTGGCATTCGGCTGCTGTCTTCTTGGATACTAAGCCTTCCTGATCAGCATGTACTACCGATATGGTGTTGGTGTTGAGGCAATATCTCACCACCTACCATCGCTGTGTGTGTGTGTGTGTGTGTGTGTGCGTGTGTGTGCGTGCGCTTGCGTGCGTGTATGTGTGGGTACACGTGTGTGCAACAGGGCTCTGTACCGTCTGACGAGGTCCTTGCTAATCTTGTTGCAAAGTTGGAAGACAACTTGAAGACAACACTGAATAATGAGACAGAAATTCAGGTGAGGTTACTAAGGATGTTGTTATCACTATTGGCTGCATGCCCATGTTGAAGAAAGCTAACAAGATGCCCAGTCCACAACTTTGCTCGTGCAGAAATGCTAGGAAGGGAGCAAGGACAGCATGTAGCAACTGTTTTTCTTTCTTTCATTTCTTTACGGAGTATGTTGCTACACTGCATTCTAAATTCTAATGTCACCATTCCGAAACAGTTCAGCCTCTTTCGTTTCTTGGATGCTTTATTTATTTCCAGACTGCTAGGCTTTGGAGAAAAGAAGAGAATTGTAAAGGTTACACCACCAACGTCATATAGTAATAGTAGTAATACTAATGTTGCAGCAGTTAGGCTGTTATAGAATCTTTCATGTTTGCTAGAATGACGCCAATTCTGTTCTTGTTGTCTTGTTGTCGTACTTGTCTGCTCTTGTTGTCATCCTCGGTTGTTGTTGTTGTTGTTCTTCTTCTTCTTGTGACTCATAATACTGCGTTTGCTGTTGACAGGCTTTGTCAGTAGAAGACTATTGCACTTGGGCCAAGTCTTCATCAGTACCTCAGGACTTCTTGAAGCTTCTTGTGGAGGTAATTCTTCTGTTGTCTTGTTGTATTTGATTTCCCCATTTACACCATTCCACTGACACTACTACCGTATGCGGAGGTGAAGAAGATCTGAATGTCTATTCATCTACATCTACTTGTAGTCCTCTGTGTCCTCTATGTCCTCTGTGTCCTCTATGTCCTCTATGTCCTCTATGTCCTCTGTGTCCTCTATGTCCTCTGTGTCCTCTATGTCCTCTGTGTCCTCTATGTCCTCTGTGTCCTCTATGTCCTCTGTGTCCTCTGTGTCCTCTGTGGTAGTCTATGTCCTCTGTGTCCTCTGTGGTAGTCTATGTCCTCTGTGTCCTCTGTGGTAGTCTATGTACTCTGTGTCCTCTGTTAGCCAGTGCAGGCTAAATTTTATTTTTCAAGGAAACCCTTCGAAAATGGTACCAATCGATTCAGCATGGCATTTTCATTCCTCCTGCAAAGTTTCAGCTGATTTGGAGTCATGACAAGGACGCTATGGCGATTTGAAGATCGAAAAACTTCAGTTTTGTTTGTCAAGAAGAAAGGCCATGATCGCACACAAATCATACAACCCGTGTGGCACAATGATTTTTGAACGAAGTTGATCCGCGGACCCCGTGCTTCGCACATGCACGCGCATGCATACTGCACTGCACAGAACAGAGGCTTTTTTGAACGCAGATATGTAGTTCGTCCTCTTCGAAATGTCTTCCAAATGCGTGGTGCTGGTGTTGTTCTCAGCTTCGTCAAGGCAGAATGCAGCTGCATGTGATGCTCCTGTGTGTTCATGCATGTTCTCTTTTCGCGTCTCGACATTGTAGCGTCCAGACTCAGCTCGACTGGAGAAGATTGAGGAGACTATGCTTTGATCCACATGGAAAATCGATGAAATTTGGTAATTATCGTCGGGCGCTAAAAAGCGCTGGGGAGCATGGGGCTAAAACTTCGTAGCAGTCATCCCTACCATGACAGGCATCGACTGGTATATGTTCCATTCTGTTCCCAACCACTACGGGTCGTCTGCGAAGCTTTCTTCTTCGCCGATTCTCGGACAGATCGTACGTCTTCGCACTGTATCTCTCGTCTCCCTCAACGGATCAAAACACGGTTTTCGCCAGGACGAACACAAACCCCCAGATTTCGCGGCGGCAACATCTTCGAGTAGGGAAAAGCTAGCAGCTAACCGGGAATCACCAAAAAACACGTGTAATACTCAGTGTGATTTGCGACAGCTGTCATTGTGCCGTCGCACCATGCATGTACCATGCACGGGAATGGAACACGGATGAGTCGTTTTATTACGACAGCCTGCACTGGCTACCTCTGTGGTAGTCTTTGTCCTCTATGTCCTCTGTGTCCTCTGTGTACTCTGTGTCCTCTATGTCCTCTGTGTCCTCTGTGGTAGTCTATGTCCTCTGTGTCCTCTGTGGTAGTCTATGTCCTCTGTGGTACTCTATGTCCTCTGTGTCCTCTGTGGTAGTCTATGTCCTCTGTGTCCTCTGTGGTAGTCGTGTACGTGTGTACTAGTCTAGTATACTCCAATGGAGGCACAGCCACTGGTGTTGAAGATTGTTAGCTCTCTATCCAACACAGCACAGCACAAGTTGTCCGATAAGCAGGACTGCACTGCAGTTGTGAATATAATTATATTTTATCATTCTATTTGACATGATGGTAGCAAGTACTCTGCATGCACATCCACACTCGCGTTATTTTGTTTCCCTTTTGGCGAGAGACTGCGAGTAAGAACAAGGTTATTTCAGAGTAGTATTCACCTGTGTTGTGTTGTCTGCTTGTGTTGCCCAGATCTGTCACATTTGTCTTGGATTGCGGCCCCGAACACCGACTGAAGAAGGCTGCGTGGTTCGGTAAGACTGGCAGCCTCTCTGTACATTCTGTGTTTCCTGATGAGATGGACATCCCATGCGAGGTGCAGAGTGCAGGCTACACTAATGTCAGGTTGTATTCCCTTCACCATGCTGTCCTGGTCATAGCACAGTGCACACACTTTGCACTAATTTGTCCTTAACACCATGATGGGTGTGCACCAGGGAGTTGTAGCACCTAGGGAGACAAGTTCTCAGACAACACAGGCGATTGTAACGCTAAATGATGTGGGTTACAATCCGGGTTTGCCCGTTACAGTTGCCCTTGAGGCAAGGCTAATGTATACATGCTTGCATACATCATTGCTTGTCTGCGCCATGCTCGAGGTCAGCAGGTCCAGATCACGATCCCTGCGAGTTGCATAGACCATAGATCAGTGTAAGATCACACCGAACTTTCTAATCTGGGGTCGAAACACACGCCATTTCGGGTACTTGTACTTTGATGTCGAGTTGTCTCGCTATATGCTACGACTCTCTGTGCTTCGACTCCCTGTGCTTCGACTCCCTGTGCTTCGACTCCCTGTGCTTCGACTCCCTGTGCTTCGACTCCCTGTGCTTCGACTCCCTGTGCTTCGACTCCCTGTGCTTCGACTCCCTGTGCTTCGACTCCCTGTGCTTCGACTCCCTGTGCTTCGACTCCCTGTGCTTCGACTCCCTGTGCTTCGACTCCCTGTGCTTCGACTCCCTGTGCTTCGACTCCCTGTGCTTCGACTCCCTGTGCTTCGACTCCCTGTGCTTCGACTCCCTGTGCTTCGACTCCCTGTGCTTCGACTCCCTGTGCTACGACTCCCTGTGCTTCGACTCCCTGAATGCTACGACTCCCTGTGCTACGACTCCCTGTGCTTCGACTCCCTGAATGCTTCGACTCCCTGAATGCTACGACTCCCTGTATGCTACGACTTCCTGTGCTTCAACTCCATGCTGTACACGTCACTCATGATATGAAATGTATGAGGATGTGTATGAGGACGGGTATATTATAATATATATGACAGAGTAAAACCTGTGTTCAGTGAACAGTACAGTAAGACTCCACTAGACTGTAGACAGAGGTTCTCACAGTCAGCCATCGACCATGCTTCAACATACATCCTGGCTGGTCTTAGAGTATAGTGCTCTGATCTGGTGTTTTGGTTTGTTTTGTCCGTTGCATGCATGCTGTCTACCTGATCTTGTAGGCGTTGGATTGCTCGTGATCAACTGCTTGGTTTTAAAGTTGACTCCACTCTTCATCTAGTCTCTCGCCAGTGGTTCAATATGTGGCTGGAGCATACGAATGTGAGTCTTGTTTTCCGCTGTCGTGAACTGTGTGTGTGTGTGTGTGTGTGTGTGTGTGTGTGTGTGTGTGTGTGCGTGCGTGCGTGTGTGTGTGTGTGCGTGCGTGTGTGTGTATGTATGTGTGTATGGTTGTACACTCGCCCTGTGCAGCGAGGGTTTTTGTAATTGGTTGTATGCTGACAAAGGTAATGGAATGTGTGTGTATATGCTTGCAGTATGATGTAGTACTGTTGTATTGTGCCTGTGTCCTGTATGACTTTGTGTGCCTGTGTCTTGGTGCTTTGTTTGCAGTCACCCATTCCCGCAAGTCATGGCCGAGGAGGAACATCCAGTTCTACTAGCCACCTTGTTGTTGGCGGTGTCAGCGATGCCAATGCCCCCCACCACGCTAGCAACACACGCGGCAGTACTAGCAGCCCTGCTATAACTGCCAGCAGTCCTGTCGAAAGCAAGGCCATGGCAACCGAGTACACAGCTGTATCCGTATCTAGAAGCAAAGAGGCAACCACACCGGAAGGCGATGGTTGTCTTCCCCAGCCTTCCAGGGCCTCCCTGGGCAAGACAAGATCATCAACACGCTCCAACCCCAAGAACAGCAGTGGCAGTGGGAGTGGCAGTGGCAGTGGTGGTGTTGGCAGCAGCAGCAGCAGCACTGGCGGTGGCAGCGCTGTCGTCAGCACTAAGAGTACTAATACTGATAGTGCTGATCTTGATGATTCTAGCACATCCGGTCTTGGACCCATTGACAATAGTGTTCTCTGCACTACTGATTCCAGGAAGGTAGGTTGAGCTCTTGTCTGCTTCTTGTGCCGCTAGATTTTGTAACATGCCTTGCGCAATGCCAGCAACTCTTTTAAATTTCTCCCTGTGACCTTTCTCTCTCAGTGTCTAGCCATGGTCCAGCTGGAAAGTCCGCCAAATACTCTTTTGGTGAGACCTCAGTGGGTCGACACAGCTACTTCAGAAGTAGGTGTCTGGAGAGTATGGTGCAAGACGAGATAGCCATGTCACCCACAACAGGAGCAAGATTTGATACTAGTGAATTCTGCTAACAGAGGAATGAGAAACTTGCAGGCAATGAATCCTGGATATAAACTGCTGCTCAGTTGATCACTTGCTTTTCCATTCTGTGTGTGTGTGCGTGTGTGTGCGTGCGTGCGTGCGTGTGTGTGTGTACGGGCGGGCCTGCCTGCGTACATGTGTGTGTGTTTCCCAGATGTCAATGATTATTACAAGCGAAGGCGGTCAGTTGAAGCGGGGTCTGCACATTGACCGAGACTTCACGTATGTAACAGAGCCAGTATGGAGAGCCCTGTGTACCTGGTACAACGGAGGCCCTTCACTACCCAGGACGGTAAGACTTTACAAACACATACATGTACACTGTGTACTGCATGCAGTCTGCTCTTCCTATTCGACAAAGTGGATCTGTGCTGTTTACCTGGTTTGATGATGCTGGCAAGACATTGGAAGATTTTGAGACAGTAACTCTCCTTTTTTCTTACTTTTGTTGCATGCCTTTTTGTTGCATGCCCCTATGTTCATGCCTCTATGTTCATGCCTTTTCCACTCTCTGTGTGCTGGCCGCATGTCGGTTTTCAGGTAGTCTTTGTGGGAGCTAAGAATCTGGTGTAACTGTGATGGGCAATCTTGCTGCTTTGTGCGGATGAATGCATGTACTTCAGAAATAATTGTGTTTACTGTGTGTCTGTCTGTGTGTATGTGCACGTGCGCGCATGCACATGTGTGTGTGTGTACGGGTGCGCGTGTGTGTACATGTATGGTGTGTGGGATATTGCGCATATCTCCTGCGTGTAGGTGATCCAAGGTCCGTCTGGTCCTGGCCTGGAACTCTACATGTACTCTATCAAGTTCTATCGTCACACCACCAATCCTAACCTGGGTCGTAGCTCTACCGCAGGTCATGCTATGAGTCACTTGAGTACCTTCTGGTCCTGGGCAGTCAGTATGCTGGGTACCAGCAGTGGCACCTCGTCAATGACAGCGTACTATCCTACATCTGCTGCTGTGTCATCTTCATCAGCACATTCATCCGGTGCTGCGTCTTCTGCTGCTGTTAGTCAGCCACCATTACCTCGACGCTACCTTGCTTACTACGCCTCACTCAGCCGCAAGCTAACACTCACACAGGTTAGTTCATTGTCTTCTTTAGCGCCAAGTCATCTGCAGTAGAGTGTTATAATAATATTACTCAATCTGCAGACAGAACTGTTTCATCCTTTGTGGACTCATCAGCGCAGCACAGAAAATGAGGCCGAACCTGATAGCAATGAATAATAAAATTTCCAAGGCCAGATTTAAACCAGGCTTGAACATACCTTGCCAGAGTGCTCAAACTGACAACTGGCTGACGTTTATAAATTTTGCCAACATGTTCTTGTCTGAACTATTAGTTTACGGTCCAATGCAGCCTCACGACTTGTACCTTGAATGGGTCGTAACTCTTGTTTTCAGTTTGACAATTTCTGCCATACTGGGTATCCTGGAAAGGTCTTGACAATGGGAACACAACAAGTACACACACTCAGCTTAACAGGATGCACTGGGCCAGCAACTGTGCACAAACACTGGCCGTATGCTTTTGATCAAGCTCCACCATCCATTTCTCTCTTAGCCTTTTCGCTCCTGTGCGTACATACATGTAGATGGACGGTATTCTGTCGATGAGTACGATCAGCCATGCCTCAGCCTGGCACACACACGCACACACACACACACACACACACACACAATGGAGTGTGTTGTGCATCACGGCCGATATCCAGTTCTAATATAAATTATACACTCCTAGGATTCTTACCTTGAATTTAAATGAGTGTCTCCTTGCCAACAAGTGACGTAAACGGGAAAATCCATTGAATCCTGCATCGTGCTCTGAGTGTAAATTTGCCAGGACCAAAGTTTCAAACACACCCCTCTTCCTATCGCTTCAGTGATGGGTCAAGACTGAGACTTCTTCTGCACTGTACCTTTTTTATCTTGATGTTTATGCTTGTCTGCATATGTGATGCTGTGCGCTTGCATGCGTGCACACGTTCATGCGTATGTTTGTGTGTGTGTGTGCGCGTGTGTGTGTGTGTGTGTGTGTGTGTGTGTGTGTGGTGTGTGTGTGCACGCGCGCGTGAATGTTTGCGTATGTGATTCTGTATTGTGTGCAGCTGGAAGAGTTCATTCAGCAGAAGATGTTTTTGAAGCCTGATGATTTCCGACTGTGGCAAATGAAAGAAGATGTGAGTCATGTTTCCTAGTTCTCTCTCTCTCTCTCTCTCTCTCTCTCTCTCTCTCTCTCTCTCTCTCTCTCTCTCTCTCTCTCTCTCTCTCTCTCTCTCTCTCTCTCTCTCTCTCTCTCTCTCTCTCTCTCTCTCTCTCTCTCTCTCTCTCTCTCTCTCTCTCTCTCTCTCTCTCTCTCTCTCTCTTCAATAGAGGATTGACTTGCATGAGTATGAGGAAGTGTGTGTGTTTTCTTCTCCTGTTCATGTTGGTTAGTCTCCAACAACACTGCTCGAAGACAGTACTATTTCTCTTGAGCGCTTGCAGCTGGATGGGAAAAGCCTACTTCTGGAAGGTTAGTGTGTCGTGTTCTCGCTTTGTACTGTTTTTGTTTTACCTTTTGGAACTCTGCTGGTCCACTGATAGCTTTCTTATGGTGTCTTGAAGTTGGCCATCGTTGATCAGCTTCACGTCGACATCTGATGGTACATAGTCTTGCTCGGGGCTATCCAGACTTTTTCGACTCGTTTCATTTGTCGTTCCTTGCTGAGCCTGTCAGCCTGGTCTGGGTGCCTGAGAGTGGCATGATGGTCTCGAAAGATACCCGGGCTTTGGCCCCAGTTTGTGTCGACAACCAGTTAGCCCTAGATTGCAAGCACAAAGGTACTTTCTGAACCAATATCCTCTTGATAGTTGATACAGAATCTGATTTCTTTCTGGGATTCATTGTCCACCGCGAGGCTGCAACTAGAAAAAGAAATCACCAATATTATTATTTTTTGAGCAGTTCATACATGTACAGTACTGATCATGTGAGTAGATCTGTGACGTGAAGTCACACAAACCCGGGCTTGTACGACTCCCCGATGTACAGATCAGGGCAATTGTTGGCCGAAATACAGAAAAATAATCGAACGGGTAAACCGCGTACCTGTTTTCTGTAAAAAAAATTGAATAAAAATTACCGGAAAATACTGTAAAAAAAGTTCAGCATGGCATGCATACATACATTGGAAAAAATATATATTAAAAAAAATTCGCCTGCCCGCACCAATTTCACATGGGTCCTGCCCGGGAATCTCGATTTTATTTTGGTCAGGCCTAAGGAGCATGTGCAAATTGTGAAAAGTACCGCGATGCAGAAAAGTCGCGATGAGGAATATGGCGAAAAAAATCATGGCACATTTGCAGACTAGTGAAACGCACTGTACGCAAGAGAAAATTGTACGATAAGGAGAAGAACGACACTCTTAAATTTGGAACCTCACCCTCTGGGCCCATGCCCCAACACTTCTCAGGCCCTATGTATGTGCCTATCGACTGATTGATATTCAACTGCTTGTGTGTATGTGTTGTGTTGTGTGTTGTTTACCTAGTGCGGAACAAGGATTTGACATGGCCAGAGGAGATACTCAGCCTGGCAGCGGCTGCCAAATCCAAGAAAGAAGAGAAGAAGAAGTCGACTAGTGAGTAGTTGCACATGACTGTGTAGTTAATAGTCCCTTCGGCTGGCCATACATGTGCATGTATACCTATCTACCGTATTTTCCCCAATAAATGTACAGTAAAATAGCAATGAAAAATATCAATTGTGCACTCATAACCATGTATAAACAATTAAAATGAAACAATTCCAGAACGTTTTCGTGTGACCATCATCAGTGGAACATCGTCACATAGTAAGAATCACTAAAACAACCAATTATATAGCTAGAGTAATATGAAAAGAAGCGTGAGAATGCAGCACAGCTAGCGGTTATGCATAACGCGTGTAGTGTGAACCTTTGCAGTGTATCTGAGAATGGTATAATACGCACTCACCAGTTTTTGTTCACACGCACTCACAGCTGCCACATTCATCTACTGCTACCATTCTCAGATACACTGCAAAGGTTCACACTACACGCGTTATGCATAACCGCTAGCTGTGCTGCATTCTCACGCTTCTTTTCATATTACTCTAGCTATATAACTGGTTGTTTTAGTGATTCTTACTATGTGACGATGTTCCACTGATGATGGTCACACGAAAACGTTCTGGAATTGTTTCATTTTAATTGTTTATACATGGTTATGAGTGCACAATTGATATTTTTCATTGCTATTTTACGACTGTTGTCTCCTCGTCGGTTATTTAAATGTACAGTACTTTTATTTTTTCAAAGGTGGTCAGACCTGTACTACTATAGGAGACTATACTAGTATTGGAGACGTGTACTTTTATTGTTTCTGGAAAGATTGATTGCCTGGGTTGGGTGGCAAACAACCTGTGATAATGATGCTGTAAGGCTGTAAATACACCCAACCATGGTAAGAATCAGGGTACAAAGACACAATGATGATGAACGGGTAAGAAAACGAAGTAAGGTGGACCCTGGTATCTGTACCCCACTAATGCCCATCACATCATTCCGGCATTAGAGACGTGCCCTTTTATATTTTCGATCCACACCCAACATGTACTACTATTGGGGACGTACTAGTAATGGAGACGTGTACGTTTAATGGGGAACATACGGTGCATGACTGTGTGGTTAGTAGTCTCTTCTGTTGCCCATACATGTGCATGCATACCTATCTACATGACTGTGTTGTTAGTAGTCCCTTTGGTTGCCCATACATGCATACCTTTCTACTGATATACCATCATCAAGCATACCAGCTGCTGCTGGAATTGTACAGATGCACAGTTGGAATAGAGCCTAAAACTGGAAAGAGTGTTTGGAACGTACGCACATCTATGTCCATTGGCTGAGGAACGTGTGAACTTGAGTATAGGCAAGGTCTGCACTGGACGACTGCCGCAAATTTGTGATTCTAGTCCTTGGATGATGAATTTTGGCCTCTCTCTCTCTCTCTCTCTCTCTCTCTTTCTCTCTCTCTCTTTCTCTCTCTCTCTCTCTCTCTCTCTCTCTCTCTCTCTCTCTCTCTCTCTCTCTCTCTCCCTCTCTCTCTCTCTCTCTCTCTCTCTCTCTCTCTCTCTCTCTCTCTCTCTCTCTCTCTCTCTCTCTCTCTCTCTCTCTCTCTCCAGGTTCAAGTCATGTGGAGCGAGGCACTACTGGCCTTAGTAACCTTGGCAACACGTGCTTTCTGAACTCAGCAGTACAGTCGCTGAGTAACACACAACCTCTGTCCATGTACTTCTGTGCTAACAAACATCTTGATGAACTAAACAGGTGAGTTGTGGCTGGCCCTTCCTATCCTTGTCATCTTCATGCTTTAGTGCTGTTTATCTACCCTCAGTCACTCAGTCACTCACTCACTCACTCACTGTCTAGTGTCATGCATGGCTTTAGTAAGCTCAGGTGGTGATGACCTTTGTCATTTGGACAGGTGCATTGCGTGTTTGTCACATTGGTATATCTATCTATCTAGCTATCGATCTACACAGAACAACAAGGGAAATCACGGCCTGCTAGTCGCTACTTAATGTTTCATGCTTTCACAATCATCCGGCAACACCTGATGACTTGCCTGATGATTGCGAAAGCATGAAACTTTAAGTAGCGACTAGCAAGCCTTGATTGCCCTTGTTGTTCTCTGTACTACGCTCTGCCTCCGCGGTGTTGAGCACTGTCAGCACACTGGGTGTATCCTCCGGTATCTATCGATCGGTCTGTGTATCTGTGTGTTTCTCAGGAGCAACCCCATGGGAATGAAGGGTCATGTGGCCAAGCGTTATGGTGATCTGGTGCATGATCTGTGGAGTGGTACATCCAAGAGCATTGCGCCGCTCAAGCTCAGAGTGAGTTTAATCGAGTGAAGCTGCCTGAATACTACTACAATCATGTACATAGTTGGTTTTCTCATTGTTGCTGGAATGCTACTCGACTCTACACGCGCTTACTGTTGTAGCAAATTGTTGGAAGTGGTCTGTAGTACCAGGCTGGTCGCTTGTCGCAGTGGTCTTTAGTTACAGATTTTACTGTAGTGACTGTGTGTAGTCCTAGCTCTTTTGGATGGCATCTTCACTCACTCAGTCTCTCTTCTGTATTGTTTGTGGATAGGAGACATGCTGCTGGATTGGAGCATGTCTCCTATCCACTGTAGTACAGGCCCACCAGAACCAGTCCTGTTGGTCAGGTCACCGCCTTACCAACCTTTCGGCCACCAATGCATGCTTTAATACAGCTGAGGAGGTCATATGTTACCCGCCATATCATACACAAGCTGTATGAAACAGGGAGTAGTAAAACAAGTATTTTACTACTCCCTGTTGTGAAAGGCCATGAGCGGACCAATCGAACACTGTATCCAGTGATCCTGCTGTACTGTCCTGCTGTCCTGCCCGGTTGATGATAATAATAGAGAAGACTTATTTGAGTCACAATTCTCCTTTGATGGAATTCTCTACATGTACTTGTACTTTCTTCTGCAGTGGACCATCGCTCGCTATGCAACACAGTTCAACACATTTCAGCAGCAGGATGCTCAGGTAGTTATAGATAAGATTGCATTCATGGATGTGTGTGTGACTGTGCATGTGTGTGTGGGTGTGTGTGTGTGGGTGTGTGTGTGTGTGTGTGTGTGCGTGCGCTCGTGCGTGTGTGTGTGTGTGTGTGCGCTGTGTGCGTGCGCGCTGTGTGCGTGCGCGCTGTGTGCGTGCGCGCTGTGTGCGTGTGTGTGTGTGTGTGTGTGTGTGTATTTGCATGCCTGTTTGTACATTCATTTGCTACCTGTTTGTATTGCTGAGCTATGTATGCAGGTTAACTTTGCTCTCCGTCACACACTCACTGTCACGACCGCAGGCAATAATTTATAAGAAGAAAAGAGGACCAAAGAACTACGCGTTACGCTATAATATCCACTAACACCACCAGTTACTTTACAATCAGCTCATGCGATAACATTGCATGACACTGACCAATGGTACTGACGTTCTACCCCTACCTCCTATCAAGAGTACATAACCCAAGAGTGTGCAACTCCAGCTATGGGGTCTGCGACGGCAGAACTTCACATCACGTGATGAACCCGTACACATTATTTGCACTTTGTGCATGATAGATACAGGGTTGCGCAGCCCAGCTTTGGGTACAACTCTCTTGTGGTCACTTTGCACTGTTTGCCAGCATAACCTTTTGAACCATGTCACGTGATGTGAAGTTCTGCCGTCGCAGCACAGCATAGAGGTTGTGCAGGCAGTTGCACACTCTTGTCGTTATGTACTCTTGCTCCTACCTGTTAGTGCTGTTAGTGGATATTATAGCGTAACTTGTAGCTCTTTGGTCCTCTGTTCTTCTTATAAATTAATCCCTGGCTCTCCACCCGAGTCTAATTACAGGCAATAATGCGACTACTTATCCCGGTCCCATGTGGGCCTTCCCTGTATGTGTACATTGTACATACAAACCACACCAGACGACTTTGGAAATGGTACCTCTTACTCATGTAGCTTGGCCAGGAAGCTGGTCAGGTTTCTGTGACTCCACTGTATTTATACTTCAAAAGTATTACAATCACGGTGTACATGCATGTGCCTGTGTGTCTGTTGACTTGCATGATGGGCAATGGACGATCAGCATGTAGATCTAGACCTGCTCAAGAGCTGATTAGCTGTGTGTCTGTATTCATGTGCTTGGCATGTGTTTACCGGTATCAGACAACTCACTGTGCTCTGTGCTCTGTGCTTTGTGCTCTGTGTTCGTCTGTCTGGATGTGTTTCTGCTGTGTTTGTAGGAGCTACTGGCTTTTCTCCTGGATGGTCTTCATGAAGATCTGAACCGCATAGAAAAGAAGCCGTATGTTGAACTGCAAGATAGCGATGGACGTGAAGATACCGTTGTAGCTCAGGAGGTAAGCTATCCTCGGACGTATGCCAGTATACTTCAGTAGTTTCCTGCTGCCCATGAGGATACGTCTTCTCAGAGTTCTACTGTAGTACTTCAGTATATCATTTGGAGTTGTGTTGCTGAGCTGCTCTGCATAGAATAAAGTTATTATTATTATTATTTAATAAGGATGGCGTAACTCCTCTGTAGCCTTGTCATGATTTCTAATTTTCTTTCACCGCCCACGGCCGCACAAAGTCCTTGGCTACAAAAAAAAAAATTAAAGTCTCTCCAAATCTCTCAAAACCAAACTTCAAAGGAGTTTGAAGTTTGGTTTTGAGAGATTTGGAGAGACTTTAATTTTTTTTTTTGTAGCCAAGGACTTTGTGCGGCCGTGGGCGGTGAAAGAAAATTAGAAATTATTATTATTATTATTATTATTATTATTATTATAGGAAGCTATAACCTGGTACACACTGGCACCTGGTACACACTGGCACCTGGTACACACTGGCACCTGTCCAGACCAAACCACTGTACTAGAGCTATACGTGTACAGCTCCTCTTGTCTTGCTGTCATTGTTCCTGGTGTGTTGGGTGTCTGCGTACGCATGTGTGTGCGTGTGTGTGTGTGTGTGTGCGCGTGCGTGTGCGTGCGTGGATGCATGCATGCATGTGTGTATGGTGTTTTTTTTAATATTTAGGCATGGGACTACCATCTGAAGCGCAACTTTTCGGTCATTGTAGATATGTTCCATGGACAGGTAAGTACATGGAGTGTGGATTATGATCATTGCAAGGATTTCTACGTGGCTGGCTGGCTGATTAGGGGGGGGGGGGGGGGGGGGGGGGGGGGGCTAATTTTGTGTGGCGTTGTCTGCTAGAATGTGTGGCAGGGTGGTGTTTATGAGTGCATGCTTACACACAGCTGTAGAGAGGAAACCTATATTATTTGAACAGCACGTTAAGATTTCTCTCTGGAGCCTCAATTGAAGTTTGTGCAATGGCCCTGTGTAGATCTTGCCTTGTTTTCTCTGTTTCTTTGTGTGCTTGTGTGCTGTTCAGCTGAAGTCAAGCCTGCGCTGCTTGGAGTGCGGTCATACAAACAACCGATTTGACCCTTTCACGTTTCTCTCACTTCCACTACCAATGGAGAACACAGTCTACCTGGAAGTCATCAGTATGTTAGAAGCTCTCTCTCTCTCTCTCTCTCTCTCTCTCTCTCTCTCTCTCTCTCTCTCTCTCTCTCTCTCTCTCTCTCTCTCTCTCTCTCTCTCTCTCTCTCTCTCTATCTATCTATCTATCTATCTCTCTCTCACTCTCTCACTCTCTCTCTCTCTCTCTCTCTCTCTCTCTCTCTCTCTCTCTCTCTCTCTCTCTCTCTCTCTCTCTCTCTCTCTCTCTCTCTCTCTCTCTCTCTCTCTCTCTCTCTCTCTCGTGTGTGTGTGTGTGTGTGTGTGTGTGTGTGTGTGTGTGTGTGTGTGCTGTAAATAGCTGTATGGTGTAGACCAGGCTGAATAGTGAGGGTCAATTCTTCAGCCTTGCAAGCTGTTGAATGGTGCAATCCTAGCACAAGTTGCTATGGCTTCTGCCGTAGCATTGCTATCATCGCCTCCGGCGATGGTCGTCAAAAAGGTCAAAGGTGTGTGTGTGTGTGTTTCAGATTCTGATGTACATGTATGTTGTTCCTTGTGCATACTTAGAAGTATGCAAGTCGCACTCGTACACGCTGACATCTGTATTGTTGTGGTGGGAATGTTCTATGTCCTGTGTGCTGTTAGTGGTACGTCTTGATGGCAGTGTTCCTGTGCGCTATGCGTTCCGCTTGAACCCGGAGAGTCGCTATGTTCTTCTGAAGACTGAGCTGTCTAACCTGACACAGGTTGCTCCTAACCAGCTGCTGCTTGTGGAGATCTTTGCGTCTTCCCTACGGGTACGTACTCACAACTGCTATCACTGTCCCTAATCTCTAACAGTAGCCACTCTCTCCAGTTAAATACACCATGAATATACTGCAGCAGCTCCTGTGTATCTTCAGCTCTTTTAACAACTTTGTTAGTACCAACCTCTTTTGAAACTGCAGGAGGCCTCACCGCTTCCAACCTCTTTTGCATGGCATTAAAGTTTGATTAAACCCAGTTAGGAGGCAGGTATCATTATGCGTGTGTGCATGCTGAAATCTTGCCATTCTGGTCAGGCTGCTCTGTCTGAACTACATTGTAGGCAGCAGTTCTGTGTGTTCAGCCACACAGTGCTCTGCTGTGTGTGGATGTGTGTGGATGTGTGTGGATTTGTGTGGATGTGTGTGGATGTGTGCGCATATACATCTTGGGTATGTGCTTATGGATACACTTTCCTTTGTTTCAGAATGTGCTGGTGGAGTCTAACAAGCTGCGGCAGACACTGTCTGGTTTGCTGTATGCGTTTGAAGTACCCAAGCCCTCAGCAATCGAACCGACAGCAAGCTGTGCAAGTGTGGACAGGCTACATGCAGTCCAGCGACTACAGACACTGGCACCGACCAGAACTAGCAACTCATTATCGCCAACCGACTGTGCTCCTGCAAGTACCACCACCACGACCACCGCAGGCACTTCTGCTGATGGAGATGTTGCTAGCAATGGCAGTGATTCTGCTGGCAATGGCAGTGCTGGCGCTGCTGCTGCTACTGCTACTGCTGCTGATGGATTAGACACGACGGAGAATGGTCACCACCGTACTCGCGCTGAACCCACCAGTAACGAGCCGACTGAGGACAGCAAGGCTACACGGCATCATGCACTGGCACCACCTAGTGCAGCCACCGCCACATCTTGTGCTGCATCCAATGATCTCACCTCTCCAATCCAGTCCGCCCTCTCACCTCAAGCACACCATGGAGATGTTGTGGATGATGAATATGTACATGTGGATACTGACAGTAGTGTGTCGTCACCACCACTACCAGGAGCAGCGGCTGCAGCAACAGCGACTAGTGCAGTCCTGTCTAACGCAAGTCCAGTTCCGGCAGTAGCAGCAGGGACATCACCGTGTGTCGCTGCGAGCACCACGTCAGAGTTTGATGGGTTTATATTCGCCTTCCATCGCAAATCGGTGAGTAACGGTTTCCTTGTTGCCTGCCTTTGCAAAGCTTGGCCGCTGTATAGATGCATCGTACATGTTTTTTTACATATACATGTACATGCTTCCGTGTACACGTATATGAGCATGGCGGTAGGGTATGGCCTATGGGTTGGATTAGGAACCTTACAGACGTAATTGCCGCTCCCAACAAAGAACAGTAGCATCAGTTTGTACGGTATTCCATGGGTGTCAACGTTACTTTAGGGCGGCTGTGAAACACTTTATTCCGGTTGGTATCGTTGTTGTCCTAGATGATGCTTTCAGGCGTGATGCGTAGTACCCTTTACACCTGAAAGTGTGACAGAATGCAATTGTTTGCATAAAATCTAACACACATATCACGGCAAAGTGCTGAGTATCTAGTTCACTTTTGTCACTCCCTCATGACTGGTGAACTCATCTGTGCCCTTGTCCCCAACCAGATGTCTGTGCTTTGTGTATTTGTGTGGGTGTGTAAAATACGTGTGTACTGCCACTGCAGTTCCTGTCGGACATCTACTTCTTAGCCCACGGCAAGTCCAAGCCTGGCATATTTGGCATACCTGTAGCTGTACCTTGGGATAAGCAAACAACACATCTGGATCTCTATCGGTCTCTGTCACGCCAGCTGAAGAGATTCATTGCTTCACCCGACCCAGATGCGTAAGTTTGTTTCTTTCTTTTATTTGAATTCGTTTAGAGCATAGGCAATTCTGCCTTCTCACGAGAGGAAAAACCTCCGGTTCGTGATAAAAACGAATAAAATGTTATGAGAGAAGGAAATGTCTCTTATCCAGGTGCATGATCGATTGGGCGACTCCCGAGCAAGTGCGCTCCGAGTCAGCGTGATCGATTGGCCGAATCCGGAGTAGGTGTACTTGGAGTGGAATGCGACCACACCGGCCCCCACACTGGGAGTGGCTGGAGTGGAAATGGACTTTGGCGTTTTTTTGACAGCTTTCACAGAATCTTAGTACGATATGCGTACATTTTGCATACTACACCCTTGTTTTCTTCGATTGGGCCAGCGTTGCTCGGACTACACCGCCTGCTCGCCCTCGATCCTGATTCGCCAATCGATGACACCCCAGGCTCATTGGGACCGGGCACTGCCCATGTCTCAGATTTACCCGTAGCTCAGGACGACTCATCTGCCACGAAATGGCAGATGAGTCGTCCTGAGCTACGGGGATAAAATACATTGTATCTTATCAATTTTTGATGAAGTTTATATTGTGCGTATTGCATATGTACAGGATAAAAAAGAGTGCAAGAGTTTTAACACTGAGCGCATTCGCACATGCGCACATGCGATTGAAAACAAACCCCAAAATCGAAGCCCTTTAGCCTTAGCAATTCAAGCTGAAGGTGCCCAGTACAGAGACATGCCCGTATCTGAGGCGGCCAGATAAGAGATGTTTGAGTGTACCAACTACCGGTATTTTTAGAAACAAGACCTGACCTGACTAGAAGAACCATCCTCGTTATGCTGTGTGTATTGTGTATGCTGTGTTTGTTAATACTATGCAGAGCTGTCAATGAGAATGACTATCCGTTTGTACTAAAGAGTGTACGTAAGGATGGTCTACTGTGCTCACAATGTCCATGGTGGAAGTAAGTGCTAGACCTGTTATGATGGTCATGTGTGTGTGTGCCTCTCTCTCTATCTCTCTTTATATATCTCTCTCTCTCTCCCTCTCTCTCTCTCTCTCTCTCTCTCTCTCTCTCTCTCTCTCTCTCTCTCTCTCTCTCTCTCTCTCTCTCTCTCTCTCTCTCTCTCTCTCTCTCTCTCTCTCTCCGCCTCTACTAAGGCCTATTGAATGGTGCAGCCTTCATAGAGCCTTGGCCAAAATATATGAGTTACAGACATTCTGAAGACTTTGTGTGCGTGTGCGTGTGTGCGTGTATGCAGGAGTGTTTGTGCTGTAGAATCATTGCTGTACCAATGTACACTGCACTTCATTGTGTACTGTGCACTCCACTGTGTACTGGTATTCTGATGTACCAACACCCTACACCCTACACCCTACAGCCTTCACTCTACACCCTACACTCTACACCCTACACCCTACAGCCTACACCCTACACTCTACACCCTTCACCCTTCACCCTACACTCTACACCCTACACTCTACACCCTACATTGCATCCAATGCCATTCATTTCTTTGTTTTGCTGTTTAGGTTTTGTTCTGGCTGTACTATCGTATGTGATGAGACTTCGTTTGACAGTGTAGCTACACGCTACATAGCCATTGACTGGGACTCTACTGCATTGCACCTGCGCTATCAGAATGCACAGGAGAGGGTGAGTTGTATGCGGTAATGGCTGCTGCTGTTGCTGCTGCTGCTGTGGATGCTGCTGCTGCCGCCGGTGCTGCTGTGCCTCCTGTTTCTGCAGCTGTTCCTACTGCTGCTGTTGTTGCTGCTGCTGTTGCTGCTGTTGCTGCTGCTGCTGGTGCTGCTGCTTCTGCCGTAAGTACTGCTGTTGTGGGTGCTGCTGTGATAGAGGTGGTTGCTGCTGCTGTGGCAATCACAGCTGTTTATGAAACAAGTACCGTGTGGTACCGATTTTAATACTTGCTCTTGCATGTATCAGTTACGTCTGTCGGCCTGCCTGTCTGTTTGTCTGTCTGTCTATTGGTCTGTCTGTCTGTCATTCTGTATGATTTTGTTCAGGCAATGGAGGAGCATGAGAGCATCAAGAAATGTCAAGAAAGTCTGACAGAGGCGATTTCTTTGGAAGAGTGTTTGGCAGCGTTCACAAAGGAAGAAGAACTCGGCGAAGATGATCCATGGTACGTATTTTCTGCTTTGCGACACATGTGTATTACAGCACTACTATTATGGTGTGTAGTGGAGTGCATGCTACATCACACTGTGCAGTGTATAGTGAAGTGCATGCTACATCACACTGTACAGTGTATAGTGGAGTGCATGCTACAGCACACTGTACAGTGGAGTGCATGCTACATCACACTGTACAGTGTATAGTGGAGTGCATACTACAGGCTGTAGTACGTACAACACACTGTATAGTGTATACTGTATACTGGAGTGCACACACCAGCCCACATCATCAGCACACACCAGCCCACATCATCAGCACACACCAGCCCACATCATCAGCACACACCAGCCCACATCATCAGCACACACCAGCCCACATCATCAGCACACACCAGCCCACATCATCAGCACACACCAGCCCACATCATCAGCACACACCAGCCCACATCATCAGCACACACCAGCCCACATCATCAGCACACACCAGCCCACATCATCAGCACACACCAGCCCACATCATCAGCACACACCAGCCCACATCATCAGCACACACCAGCACACATCATCAGCACACACCAGCCCACATCATCAGCACACACCAGCCCACATCATCAGCACACACCAGCCCACATCATCAGCACACTACAGCACACATCATCAGCACACACCAGCCCACATCATCAGCACACATCATCAGCACACATCATCAGCACACTACAGCACACACACTATCAACCACTCCAGTACACTGTTATGTCAAAGTACTTTCACCACCTTCCTGTCATCATTAATGTCATAGTACGTTGCTTACAGTCAAGAAGAGAATGCCGCTCATCATGCTGCTGCTGCTGCTGGATGTCACATGCTTTTTGTCTGCTAGAAATGCCTTTGCTGCTGCTGAGGCTACGGCTGCTGTTTCATATGCTGCTCCACATGCAACTTGTGTCGTTTAGTGTTTGAAAACTGTTGTCATGCTATGTTTTATCTGCCTGTCTTTCTATATGCATGTCTGTCTGTCCACCTGTCTGTATGTATATCCATCTGTATGTTTGTCTGTCTGTCTATCTGTATGTTTGTCTGTCTGTCTATCTGTTTGTCTGTCTGTCTATCTGTCTGTCTATCTGTCTATCTGTCTGTCTGCCTATTTGTATGTCTGTCTGTCTGTCTGTCTGTCTATCTGTCTGTCTGTTTGTTGCGTATTATTAGGTACTGTAGTAAGTGCAAGAAGCATCAGAGAGCAGTGAAGAAATTGGACATTTGGAAGCTGCCTCCTATTCTGGTTAGTCTTAGCACTGCTAGAATTACTCATGACCAGGGAGTCGTACTCAAACTAGGGAGGTGACACGGCACAGAAATCCGTGTCACAGGGGTTGACTCGCACCCGTAACCCCTCGTTGTTATTTTTGGAATAGTTCAGTCCAGTCCAGTCCGAAAGGTCATACTCGGATCGACTCGCCTTCTGTACTTCACCTCCAAGCGTGCCGCATGGGTGTCTAGTTTTTTAATTTTTTGAGGCAGCACATTTCGTTTACAGCCCATCACTCGCCAGCATTCTTTGAAAGACTACCAGCAAATTGTTTAGCTCCTGCCATGTCCGAACTACTTGATAGCAGTGATGGTAACAGCAGCAGTTATGAGACGGCGTGTAGTGTTGCGGTAACTGTTCAGAACTGTTCAGAGTCGTATCCCAGGTTAATCCGAATACTAAAAATTGACCCAAATTGCACATAACACGAAGCTGGTTTTTGAAAATTGTAAGTCGTGTATCTGCCCCATTTCTTCTTTATGACTTGCACAATACACCAGTCTTCCTAAACAACACATTTATAGCAGGGGTTAAGTACCATATAAGAGAAATACAGCCAGTGATATTGTCATGTTGAAATACTACAATTTTGACACAAATTACACATAACACGAAGCCAGGTTTTGAAAAATGTAAGTCGTGTATCTGCCCCATTTCTTCTTTATGACTTGCACAATGGTCCAGTCTGCCTAAATAACACATTTGACCCGCGCTCTGCGAAAACCGACCTTAGGTGCTTCGTAATTTTTTCGAGAAAAAGAACAAAACGTCACGGTCTGTCGATTTTTGAAGATCACAAGGTGAGAGTCATGGCGGAACGAAGCAGAAGACAGTCGCTAGCTCCAATAATTGGTGTGGGCTTCTCCCAGAGGTTTCATCCGAACTCCTTTACGATGAATAGTCATTTTTTGGCCTGGTCCAATCGCAGTTCTGATGACAGCAGTGCCAAGGAGAGTTGGATGTGGAATAGCAGGACGCAACGCTGATCGAGCTGGACGGCCATGCGAAGGAGAATTTCGATCAGGCGTCAGTTTTGCCACCAGCCCAGCCCCTCAATGCCGGCAATAAACAGAGTGCAGACCAAGAAAAATCGGTTCAAGTACTGTCTACAATCCAGGAGGCGCGCGACAAGTTTGACAAGGGCTGTAGTTGTTCCGCACTGGTGCTGTTTCAAGAGCGTGACACTTGAAACCTTGCTTTACATTTACAGCGCACACAGCGCACGTCCTGACCAAGTCAGAGCGCGGCTTGTGTGTAGGCGGAAAGCTAGACGTGCTCAGGAGACGTGGTGAGGCTACCCAGCGCGTCCAGCATGCTGGGAGATGTGATAGATGGGGCTCAACAATACTACTCTGAACTACTGAAGACTACAGTCAGTGGCTGGTGTGGAAGTCATGTACATGCATGTCAGGAAGTCTTTGTGTATGCCTCCAGCACAGGATCAAGCCTTGGGTGCTAAAATCTGTGCAGGCTGCTGTCAGTGCAAGTGAAATCAGCCCAACACAGGAATTGAATGAACTCTGGAATGCACTGCCTGCGGAAGATGATGTGGAGCTGAAGTATTTTATAGAGCATTATGCTATAGCTCATGGCCTCCCTTAACCTGCAGATCCACATGGGCACAACAAGCCAGAACCAACCTACATGTATTTGCCCAGTATCACTACGAAGAAGCTTGTTCACCAGGCGTTGGCAAAGCTGCATACAGTACGTTTGGCAAGATTTGGAAAAGAGACTGCCATGATATCACCGATTATGAAACAATGTGTGCGGCGGATGTAGACATAACTAGATGTTCTACTACCAGTACCAGATAAAACTATCAATATCCTTTAACCCGGCATTGATCCGAGCTTCTTCACTACTTTGCACCTGCCTCTACCCTTCACTCTGGCTGGCATATCCTCATACAGAGCCAACTACCTCTTCCAGCAGATTCGTGAGCAACACCATCCACAGAAGAGAGAAAGAATGTGTCTATCTCCACAACAGAAAGATCCAATGCCATCATAAACCTTTCCTTTTGAAGATTTTGACATACAGATTTATTCTGCAAAGTTTGGCTGCAATCATGCTGCTTGAATTCTCACAGCATTGGCTCCAAAATGTAGCATAAAATCCAATATTTTTGCTACTTTTCCTCAAAATATTGTAGGAAAAGTGCAAAGAAATTGTCATTGTATCTAACTGAATATGTATGCAATCCACCTCAAACTTCACCAGAAGTTGAAGAAAGGGTCATGGGTCAATAATCCAGCACAAACTCAATTTCGCCAAAATAGCACCTAAGGTCAGTTTTCGCAGAGCGCTGGTCATTTATAGCAGGGGTTAAGTACCATATTAGAGAAGTACAGCCAATGATATTGTCATGTCTAAATACTACAATTTTGACACAAATTACACATAACACGAAGCTGGTTTTTGAAAATTGTAAGTCGTGTATCTGCCCCATTCCTTCTTTATGACTTGCACAATACACCAGTCTCATACTGTCATATTAAAACAGCCAGCAATTTTCCTGCAGCAGTCACACCACCATCATCATTATTTCCAGGGAAATCCTCTTACATTGTCAGCTCCTACGTCGTTAGATACAATGTAGGGGGCTGTAGGACCGGCTCGTCAAAAATAGAGAACCTGAACAAGCGTGCTCGGGACGTCTCAGCAATCGTAGTATGCCTGAGCACTCCAATAAAAACTTGATCAATGGCAAAATCGTTCCCCACAGAAAAATCATACTTTGCGGGTCTTGCGTTGCACGCTTGGAGATGAAGTACAGAAGGCGAGTCGATCCGAGTATGACCTTTCGGACTGGACTGGACTGAACTATTCCAAAAATAACAACGAGGGGTCACGGGTGCGAGTCAAC